GCTCATGTAATGTAAAGTTAAAATCGGGGGTTTGAATGGTCCACGGAGGAACATCAGATATGTTAAATTCAGCTATGTCCGTCAATTTTATGTTGAGTTCTTGCAGGAAATTCAAAATTCGGATACCAAATGTTGGCAGAAGTTTTTGGTTTTGCGTAAATATGTTTTGGTATTTGGGGTTGAATACTTGGTTGAAAGCAGGATTTTTAGGGTTTGATTTTAATTGAGTTGCAAATTGTAATGAAAGTTTTATTCTTCTGTCATAAAGGGATGGTTCATTTGCTTCCACGTACAGGCTTTTTACAGGTGTTGTTCGAAAAGCTCCCAGGGCAAGACGTAGCCCTTGGTTATGGATTGGATCTAGCATCTGAAGGTACGAACTGCGCGCTGACCCGTATACCATAGAACCATAATCCAGTTTTGTTCGAATAAGTGATCTGTATAGGCGCAAAAGCATTTCACGATCCGCTCCCCAATCAGTATGAGAAAGGACTCGTATAATGTTTAACGCCTTGGAACACTTATCCTTCAGATACTTTATATGTGGTATGAAAGAGAGTTTCGAATCAAAAATGAGGCCGAGAAATTTAGTCTGTTCAACAACAGGAATTCTAGTGCCATCGAGTGTTAGATTTGGGTCATTGTGTGCTTTTCGTTTTTGACAGAAATGCATGCACACAGTTTTGGATTTAGAGAATTTGAAGCCGTTTTCGTCTGCCCAATTTTGTAGTTTGTTTAAACTCTGTTGAAGTTGTCGTTCTATCGTGTGCATGTTCTTAGATCTGTAACAGATCAAGAAGTCATCCACAAATAGCGACCCTTCTGTTGATTGACCAAGACATTTGACTATATCATTGATTTTAAGTCCAAACAGTGTGACTGATAGGATTCCACCCTGTGGGACTCCCATTTCCTGTTTAGACGTTTCAGAAAAAGTTGAACCAACACGGACTTTGAAGTGTCTATCTGATAGGTAATTAGATATAAAATTGGGAAGGTTTCCACGTACGCCAAGGTCGTGAAGATCTTTCATGATGCCATACTGCCATGTAGTATCATAGGCCTTCTCAATATCAAAGAACACGGCGACAAGGAGTTCTTTCTTGGCGAAAGCCTCTCGAATGAACGTCTCTAATCTGATGAGATGGTCATACCAACACAAAATTAATGAGATAGAAATTAGCTGAAACTAAAAGATGCACCTTTTGTACACATGAGAGAGAAACTATTATGCATCTTTTTTGGGAATACAGTATAATAAAAACATTTTTGTTATGGCTGATAGATACGCTAGAAAATAAGTACCAAATTACCTTGCCCAGACACCCAACAACTTTTATTTTTGGTGTAATAGAAAAAGAACACAGAGACGAGATTATTTTTTATTGCTCATTATGAGATACTATATATATATTCATGTAAGTTAAAAAACACAGCTCCTACCATTCTGGAAGGGAAAACATACCTTAAGTTTTATAATAAAATAGAAGATATGGGTCTGTATGCCTATCACAACAAAATGCAAGAAAAAATCAAATGCAAATAGATTTTTATCAATCATTTTCTTATTTAACTGAGCTGACATTGTTGATATATTTTTGGGTAAAGTCATTAGAGCCATATTATCCTGTCGGATAACTCCACGCCTAAATGTATTCAAAATAGAAATGATCTGTCTTACTTATAGATGTCATGGTACTCTGTACTTGTCTTTAAAAAACGTGAAATATCCAATGGGAAATATAATCTAAATTAATGTAAACTTTGTACATGCATGAGTAAACAGGTAAACTCATATATATATATACCGATTCTGATTGATATATAGTTACAGAACGAAAATAGTCATATGAAACAATTGTAATGTGCATGTAACTTAAGTAAAATGTGATTATGAAAAAAAGTTGAATAACAAAAAAAAAAAAATGTAAACAACGATATAAATACATAGTGGTAATTTTTTTAAAGCATGTTTTGTGAAAAATATGACAAAGGCCAGAATGAAATATACCAAGGATGACATTGTGAGAAGGACTGAGTTCCTTGATAACCATATCTTTGCTGAGTTCGGTGGCAATATTTTCCACCAGAATGAAGGCATCCCTATGGGAACAACCTATATGTCCCTCTTATAGACTAATTTTACTTTTCACATGAACCTGATTTTTTTGGTGAGTTTATCAGGAAATGTTTACAAAAACCTTGCCAAGTCTTTTTATTTTTTTTACTTTTTGTGCTCAGACATAGGCTCTTTTTCCCCTTTATAGTTCTCCAGATTTCATATATCACATTGTATGATATTATTAAGTAAATATATAGACACATCTATTGTCACAATGTTAATGCATTCACATCCCTTATGTTTTGTTACTTAACACATTTCACATTTTCCGATAAATATCCTTATAATCATAATCAAAGACCATTGTCTACAATGCTCCAGGTATACTTTGGTCACGCCCGAATGACTCTGTAGATGACGAAGCGATCTAATATGTACGCACGAGATTTGCTGTGTTACATCTTGCTCCGCAGTAGATTATCTTAAAAGCCTGTACTGGTTGACATTTTCTTTGTATAAACAATCATTTATTATGTGATTGTACCTATGAGAACGGTTAAGACGAACGCCAAAGCCATTATTTTCTCTAAGTTTCAACCATGATTGTAGGATACCAATATAAAATTGTGGTACATCATTTTTTTGGAAGGTTACGTATGTGTCCAGGGGACAAAAGAAACAGCATACTGGCGCCACCGAGCTTTTCTAAATAATAATTTGGAATAAATTACACTTCCAACAGGCGTCTACAGGAGATACTAACCTTTGAATCCAAGATACATTTAAAACATCTATATGGGATTCAACGTCACGTATAGATAGCCCGCCATCCAATTTATCGCCTATCATAACACTACGTTTTACAGGGTCTGGTTATTGTTCCAAGTGAAGTTAAAATTTTCCTACAACAAGACCAGCAAGTACTGTACGATAAGCGTGACACTTTCGGTTGTCCAATCATGAAGTGTCCCTTTCTTTATAGAAACATCCCTACTTCCCCATCCAAGAGCGTTTACATGTCCCAGTTCATTCGATATTCAATAGCTGGCTCCTAATGTCTTGATTTGGATATCGACAGCTGATGGCCAAACTTGCAACAAATGTTTTATGTTCGTCATCATGAACTCATTGGGAAATATTCTATTTCTGTGTCTAATATGAAGGTCGATGTGTCTTGTTCTGTTGTTGTCAGTACCCTGGTTCACTTAGAGGACCTGATAATCTTCGAAATTAACCTGGATTTACATGTTTGGTGTCATCGATGAAGCAGAAGACGCTTGTCATTTTTCATTCTTTTATATATGCCTGTTTAATAACATGTTTCCAAAAACAGAAATGGTATTATTTTGGTTGTTTTAGCTCATTTTGCAAGCAAATTACATTTGTGATTTACCCAACCCCGTTCGGTACCCCAATAACCCACTTTCGGTCAAACGTTTGCCTTAGTTTCTCCGGATATACTTGGGCCCCAAAAAGGGCCTTATAGACACTCATCATCTGCCAACAAGGGAAAAGATATCATTAACATTTGTAATATCCTACACGAGAAGTCTGCCAAAGCTAACATACCATCATACTTCAAACACTAAAACAGCTGATTTTTCTCAGCATTTTTTTCCATTACATCTTCCAACATGATATGGCCAAATTAACTGCTGGTCCAAATATTTTTCAAAATGTAACGCTACGGTAGCTTTTTTTTAATGAAGAGTCCAAAGTATAGGGAGTCTCCTGCTATCTATTGGAATGTGAATTTCAAGATAAGGGTAACCCGGGGTTGATTCTGTGGAAGACTTCACAATACAATGGGCAAAATGAGATAAAGCCAAATTAGATTCACTTTCAGAGTGGGTTAAATCTATCAGGTTCATTGTTCCAAAAACAATTATCAGCTTGAAATCAAGATGAGGGGACTGATAGACTCTCTCACATTTATGACCTGTGTTAAAATAAGCAAAGCCAAAAATGATTTGTAGGTTTGAATCACTATTTCCTACGCTTATAAATAGCAAAGCAGAATCAGCGTCATTTTTGTATTGCCAACTCACACGGCGTATATTTGACTCCTTTGAGTACATTCCTATGCTTCATTGGTCATTTGTCTGATGAACAGAAGGCGACAGATTACATACCATACTAGTCATCGAAATGTCACACGACAAACACTCGACTGGTTGTCATACAGGAACCTTTCTCCAATCCATAAATACGATTAACTTTGTTGAGAAAAATGGCGATCAGAAGACAGAATGAAGCTTTGAAGTCGAGAAACCGGTCAGATAGTAACGTCAAATGGTTCCACTTGGATGGCTGGAACGTTCAGTGATAAAAATTGTATGATTTTTGTAGTGTTTTGTTTATAATTGAGAAGTACACATATGACTTTAATTTTACAGACATAATATACCAAACTCTTTTTTTTATACTGTTCTGTAAACATTGTGTCAAATTTCCTGTTTCATCTCATTGCTTACTTTATCATATTGCCCGCAGAGGGCCGAGGGAAAAACACAGGACATAAAGTGGAGAAATCAAAAGTAGGACAAACTGATATATACATGAAATATGCCCAGCTTTAAACTTCATATTACTCAGTACACATTTGTCAATCACCTTTGTATTCAAATTGGATTACGGTGAGGAAAGAAGAAACTATTAATTAGCAAGATAACGGTATGTCCAGTGTTCAACATCATTAACCATTCCAGAAATTATCAGTGAAAACCTACGTACTATTAACTTACATACGTACTATTAATTGTTTATTTTGAAATCTTACCCATACAATAACTTACCCATATACTATTCTTTATGTAAAACGTGTTGGATTCAGATATCTTGTTTCTTAAAGCCAGTTTATTTATGACCTATTTACTATAATCTTCAAAGGTTTAATTCAACACAGAAACAAAATATCAGAAACAAGCAATTCCTGTCATTCTCTTTTTACAGTTTTATTTTCAAGCTATATTTGGTGACTGTTGTCCAGCACACATTTAGTCCTCCATCGTATTGCTTTTGTACATCTCTCTGCTGATCGATTCTCTTTCTCTTTTGCTTACTGATGTTCTATGCTTTTTCATCAAATCAAATTTGTCTATGCGAGGTTGTATTTGTGAAACATCAAACTTCTTCTGTTGTTTTGCACTTAAATTCACAGTAAATTCAGCTCCATTCAACTCCTGCCGTTCCCACTTTTCCAACCAAGGTTTGGGATTTAATGTTATCTAGAAACGTAATAGAGGTGGAATGTTAATTATGACATTAAACTCATGAGGAGAATTTCAAATACAAAGGTATTGTAAAAACTACATCCTAACTTTGGAGACAATTATATATTTTCTATGACAACTTGTAGGAGCAAAGACATTACTGTGGGTAAGAGACTATTACACTTTCTGTGGGTAAGAGACTATTACACTTTCTGGGGGTAAGAGACTATTACACTTTCTGGGGGTAACTGACTATTACACTTTCTGGGACAGAGGTGCGAGTCACTTTACTGGGGGTTAGAGATAGTGTTATACTTTCTAGGACAAAGGTGATAGCGATTTTACAGGGGGTAACAGACTATTACACTTTCTGGGACAGAGGTGATAGCGATTTTCCTGGGGGTAACTGACTATTACACTTTCTGTGGGTAAGAGACTATTACACTTTCTGGGGGTAAGAGACTATTACACTTTCTGGGGGTAACTGACTATTACACTTTCTGGGACAGAGGTGCGAGTGACTTTATTGGGGAACAGAGACTTATATTTTCTTGGACAATTGTGAGAGCAGCGTAACTGGGAGTAACAGAAACTATGATACTCTCTAGGATAGAGGTGATAGCGATTTTACTGGGGGTAAAAGAGACTTTTATACTTTTTGTGACAGATGTTAGAGTGATTTAACTGGGGGAACAGAGACTATTATACTTTCTAAGACAAAGGTATGAGCAATTTTACTGGGGGTAACAGTGACTTACATTTTCTTGGACAGATGTGAGAGCAACTTAAATGGGAGTAACAGAGACTATTGTACTTTCTAGGACAGAGCTGGTGAGAGCGATTTTACTGGGGGTTACAGAGAGTCAGGCTATTATACTTTCTGGGACAGAGGTGAGAGCGATTTTACGTGGGGTAACAATGACTATTATACTTTCTGTGACAGAAGTGGGAGTGACATTACTGGGGGTAACAGTAACTATTATACTTTCTGTGACAGAGGTGGGGGAGACATTACGGGGGGTTACAGAGACTATTATACTTTCTGTGACAGAGGTGGGAGTGACATTACGGGGGGTTACAGAGACTATTATACTTTCCGTGACAGAGGTGGGAGTGACATTACTGGGGGTAACAGAGACTATTATACTTTCTGTGACAGAGGTGGGAGTGACATTACGGGGGGTTACAGAGACTATTATACTTTCCGTGACAGAGGTGGGAGTGACATTACTGGGGGTAACAGTGACTATTATACTTTCTGTGACAGAAGTGGGAGTGACCTTACTGGGGGTAACAGTGACTATTATACTTTCTGTGACATTACTGGGAGTAACAGTGACTATTATACTTTCTGTGACAGAGGTGGGAGTGACATTACTGGGGGGAACAGTGACTATTATACTTTCTGTGACAGAGGTGGGAGTGACATTACGGGGGGTAACAGAGACTATTATACTTTCCGTGACAGAGGTGGGAGTGACATTACTGGGGGTAACAGTGACTATTATACTTTCTGTGGCAGAGGGGGGAGTGACATTACTGGGGGTAACAGAGACTAATATACTTTCTGTGACAGAAGTGGGAGTGACATTACTACTTTCCGTGACAGAGGTGGGAGTGACATTACTGGGGGTAACATTGACTATTATACTTTCTGTGACAGAGGTGGGAGTGATTTTACTGTGGGCAACAGTGACTATTATACTTTCTGTGGCAGAGGTGGGAGCGTCATTACTGGGGGGAACAGTGACTATTATACTTTCTGTGACAGAGGTGGGAGGGAGATTACTGGGGGTAACAATGACTATTATACTTTCTGTGACAGATGTGGGAGTGACATTACCGGGGGTAACAGTGACTATTATACTTTCTGTGACAGAAGTGAGAGTGACATTACTGGGTGTAACAGTGATTATTATACTTTCTGTGACAGAGGTGGGAGTGACATTACTGGGGGTAACATTGACTATTATACTTTCTGTGACAGAGGTGGGAGTGATTTTGCTGTGGGTAACAGTGACTATTATACTTTCTGTGACAGAGGTGGGAGGGAGATTACTGGGGGTAACAATGACTATTATACTTTCTGTGACAGATGTGGGAGTGACATTACCGGGGGTAACAGTGACTATTATACTTTCTGTGACATTACTGGGAGTAACAGTGACTATTATACTTTCTGTGACAGAGCTGGGAGTGATTTTACTGTGGGTAACAGTGACTATTATACTTTCTGTGGCAGAGGTGGGAGCGTCATTACTGGGGGGAACAGTGACTATTATACTTTCTGTGGCAGAGGTGGGAGGGACATTACTGGGAGTAACAGTGACTATTATACTTTCTGTGACAGAGGGGGGAGTGACATTACTGGGAGTAACAGTGACTATTATACTTTCTGTGGCAGAGGTGGGAGGGACATTACTGGGAGTAACAGTGACTATTATACTTTCTGTGACAGAGGTGGGAGTGACATTCCGGGGGGTAACAGAGACTATTATACTTTCCGTGACAGATGTGGGAGTGACATTACTGGTGGTAACAGTGACTATTATACTTTCTGTGACAGAGCTGGGAGTGATTTTACTGTGGGTAACAGTGACTATTATAGTTTCTGTGGCAGAGGTGGGAGCGACATTACTGGGGGTAACAGTGACTATTATACTATTACGGGGGGTAACAGAGACTATTATACTTTCCGTGACAGATGTGGGAGTGACATTACTGGTGGTAACAGTGACTATTATACTTTCTGTGACAGAGGTGGGAGTGATTTTACTGTGGGTAACAGTGACTATTATACTTTCTGTGGCAGAGGTGGGAGCGACATTACTGGGGGTAACAGTGACTATTATACTTTCTGTGACAGATGTTAGAGTGATATTACTGGGGGTAACAGTGACTATTCTACTTTCTGTGACAGATGTGGGAGTGATTTCACTGTGGGTAACAGTGACTATTATAGTTTCTGTGGCAGAGGTGGGAGCGACATTACTGGGGGTAACAGAGACTATTATACTTTCTGTGACAGAGGTGGGAGTTACATTACTGGGGGTAACAGTGACTATTATACTTTCTGTGACAGAGGTGGGAGTGCAATTACTGGGGGTAACAGAGACTATTATACTTTCTGTGACAGATGTGGGAGTGACATTACTGGTGGTAGCAGTGACTATTATACTTTCTGTGACAGATGTGGGAGTGACATTACTGGTGGTAGCAGTGACTATTATACTTTCTGTGACAGATGTGGGAGTGACATTACTGGGGGTAACAGTTACTATTATACTTTCTGTGACAGAGGTGGGAGTTACCTTACTGGGGGTAACAGTGACTATTATACTTTCTGGGACAGAGGTGGGAGTGACATTACTGGGGGAAACAGTGACTATTATACTTTCTGTGACAGATGTTAGAGTGACTTTACTGGGGGTAACAGAGACTATTATACTTTCTGTGACAGATGTGGGAGTGACATTACTGGTGGTAGCAGTGACTATTATACTTTCTGTGACAGATGTGGGAGTGACATTACTGGTGGTAGCAGTGACTATTATACTTTCTGTGACAGATGTTAGAGTGACATTACTGGGGGTAACAGTGAGTATTATACTTTCTGTGACAGAAGTGGGAGTGACATTACTGGGGGTAACAGTTACTATTATACTTTCTGTGACAGAGGTGGGAGTGCAAATACGGGGGGTAACAGAGACTAATATACTTTGTGTGACAGAGGTGGGAGTGACATTACTGGGGGAAACAGTGACTATTATACTTTCTGTGACAGAGGAGGGAGTGCAATTACGGGGGGTAACAGAGACTATTATACTTTCTGTGGCAGAGGTGGGAGTGACATTACTGGGAGTAACAGTGACTATTATACTTTCTGTGGCAGAGGTGGGAGTGACATTTCTTGGGGTAACAGTGACTATTATACTTTCTGTGACAGATGTTAGAGTGACTTTACTGGGGGTAACAGAGACTATTATACTTTCTGTGACAGATGTGGGAGTGACATTACTGGTGGTAGCAGTGACTATTATACTTTCTGTGACAGATGTGGGAGTGACATTACTGGTGGTAGCAGTGACTATTATACTTTCTGTGACAGATGTGGGAGTGACATTACCAGGGGTAACAGTGACTATTATACTTTCTGTGACAGAGGTGGGAGTGCAATTACGGGGGGTAACAGAGACTAATATACTTTCTGTGACAGAGGTGGGAGTGACATTACTGGGGGTAACAGTGACTATTATACTTTCTGTGACAGAGGTGGGAGTGATATTACTGGGGGTAACCGTGACCATAATACTTTCTGTGACAGATGTTAGAGTGATATTACTGGGGGTAACAGTGACTATTATACTTTCTGTGACAGATGTTAGAGTGACATTACTGGGGGTAACAGAGACTATTATACTTTCTGTGACAGAGGTGGGAGCGATATTACTGGGGGTAACCGTGACCATAATACTTTCTGTGCCAGATGTTAGAGTGATATTACTGGGGGTAACAGTGGCTATTATACTTTCGGTGACAGAGGCGGGAGTGACATTACTGGGAGTAACAGTGACTATTATACTTTCTGTGACAGAGCTGATAGCGATTTTACTGGGGGTAACAGAGACTTCTAGTGCTCAGTTATGACAGAAACATACCTTTATGTTGTTGACAGGTACAGGCTGACCCCTAGGGAGTAGGGTGGCCTTCAGGTCAAATGAAACTGTACTATATTCCTGTGGAGCATCTCTCAGGTAACGTAAGTGTTCGTCTGCTCGTTTTTCCAGTTTTAACACTTCTATTTTTTGTATTGTGGGATTATACAGGAAGTACTTAATCTCAACACCTGTACAAATACAAAAACAGTTAAAAAAGCATGAAATTAGAAACTCACCAATGCTATCTTGCCAACAAAGCCGTTCTTCTAAATACTTCTAATACATACAATATTTCTGAAGAAAATGTATCAACTATCCTTTCCTTCAAGATATTTTTACTTGTCACCATACACATGCGTGTAAAGGTATAGCAAGCAGTTTAAGACATTCACAGGGTCATAGTTTGTATCTCCATTGTGACCATAGGTTTACATCATCAACAATTATCTTCATTGTGACCATAGGTTTACATCATCAATAGAATCAATCCAGCTGTTCAATTCTATGGTTTTTATTGTTTATAAATTAAAGATGATGGCAAAATATTATATATATTTGCATATCAACCTTTGAGTAGTGTATCATATGATTTTTTTTTTTTTTTTTAACTTCACAAATACTTCATGTTTTATAGTATGTTTTACCTTGGCCATCAATAACGTTCCTCAGAATAAAGCAATGATTCAGTCCTTGCCCAAAACGATCAATACATATGCCTACAAATCTATTGGTTTTGTTTGGTGCAAAATGATCTGCAGCACTCACTGCTATTAAGCTACCTGTAAAAACAAGCACAAAGAACAACAGTAGTTTTCCCCTTTGTTTTTTAGTTTTAATGTCTAAGCTAGGAAAATGGAGTAACAACCCTTTATATTTGTAATGAGTGCAGGCTTCAGTCTTATTAGCCCAAGACTGTCATACTAGACTATTTTTCCAAAAAAATTGTGCAAATGTCAGATTATTATTTCTTTGAAATTTCATATTGCATCACTGAAATAAAACCTGTGTCTTATAAAAAAGAGATTGTACCAGGTATACTGTAAATGATTTATTGTTCACATCAGTGAAGTGTCAGGGGACCTCAATTAATTCCCATTATATCATACACATCTTCCACTGGAGCTAACCAGTGTACTGAAAATACAAGGCAAAAAACAAAACAATGCTGCCTCATTATTATGGGTATATTTATCATTATGAAAGATTTCAACAAAATTTATCTTCTATGTGTATACTAAAGAAAACATATCTATGTTAATTTTATCTTCTTACCAACATAAAACTCGGGTAGGTGTATCTGTCTCCTCCGATTCAACATATCCTTTCTTTCAAGAGCATCTCTCAAATTATCTGTAATCCATCCTTCAAACCGGTTTGGCAGAAACTCTGGATACATGGCTCTGTATTGATAGGATAATCTCATATCATTACACAAAGACAGATTAGTCATAAAATGTTATACAGTCTTAATTAATAACAACAGGCACATGGGACATGTAGTCAATGATATTTTGTTTTCAATCTGAATATAATTTCTTGCCTCAATCACAAGACCCCAGATCCTGATTGGTTTAGTTTGGTTTGGTTTAATAATGTTTAACATCCTATCAACAGCTATGGTCATTTAAGGATGGCACCAGATCATGAAACAATCCACACTGCAGTCAAAATTAGTTTGCTTCCTCATTTTCAGTGTCATATCGAAATCCATATTGTATAATTTCACTAAATTTGGATTGGATTCCAAAACATTTTTTTCTTTTATTGACACTTGATGATTAATGTTTTAGCTTATTTAGTTTTATGGACATCTAACATAGCAATAACCTCAACAATATATTATACTCTTCAGGCATTCAAAATCCTACCAATATTGTTGGAAAAAAGTCGCTACTGTTAGGTAGCTCATTCATGTCTAATGCTTCAATAGCCTGATTATAGGCGCTATATTCGGACCTTTGATAGAAATTTTATCTACTGTGTTCCAATGTTGCATGTCAGATCAATACACAAATCTGTAACTCCTTTAGATCCCAATACATCCCCCCCCCCCTGGTATATGTTAAACATTATGTTTAACAAAAGAAAGAAATGAAAGACATCTACCACATTTGCCAATTCTGGCCAAAAAGCATAATGCATTATGATATACGTGTATACCAGTACACAACAGGAAATGGAAATCTGTGCCACCTTGCTGCAAAGGATCTTACTTTTAACTCATCAAGAATAATAGGAGGTGAAACTTAAGGAAAAAAGCATTGGTGTTTGATTACACAATGCATGTTAGTATTGCATCTATTACTAATTAGGACATATCTGACCAAAGGACTTATTCGAAGTTTGAGATTAACAGGACAAGTTATTAATGTATTTTAATCCATTTTTATAAGAGTACTCTTAAAATAAAGCACATAACATCAATTTCCATATAATTTATACAGCACAAATGTTTAGCACCTTTGGACAGATAATTACATGTATAACAAAGAGGCCTACGTTGTTTTTTTCTTGTCTGTTACCTTCTATTATAATATCTGCTAGATTCTGTAGCCTCTTTCTGACTAGTGGTTCTCATATTATGTTTACCACAAAGTTTCGTAAAATCTGACAGACAATTTCTGAGAAGTCAAAAATATGATTTATTAAGAATGACACATGACAATAAATGAAAGGCAATAACAAAATGTAACCCAAGTGACTCTGGTGATCTAAAACAGAATATTTATAGGGTATACAGATAAAGTAATTAATTCAGTCATCTTTTATCTCGGTTACAGTGTCTGGATTGTGAACCAAGTAGGATAACTGAGACATGGAAAATCTGTCCCATAAAACACTAGCTGGTAGTGAAGCCACTAGATTAGCAGTAGACGGAATAACAAGACTTAATACAATGTACCTATTGCAGACAAATTCATCCTGAAATCTTACGTAAAATCTTTTGGAACTTTGACAGATTTATCAACATCCTCCTTTTTTATGTGAGCTGATGACAATGAAGATTCTCTCTGTCTTTCAACCAAACGCTGTGGTACTGTGTTCGACCATCTCTTTATAATGGATTGTGGAGACGTAGAATTTACTGGAATAGGAGAAGAAAAACATCATGGAGGTATTTATTTACAACAAAAAATAATCTTTCAATGAGATTAAAGGTAACATGTGCAATCATTAGACAATTATCATTCATCATTATTAACTTATTGTTGACTGTAGATAATTTACCACATAGCATGTTGACTGTAGATAATACACCACATAGCATGTTGACTGATAATATACCACAAAAATTATTATTTTGATTAAAAATTACATTGTCAAAGGCATTTAGTTTTGTTTTCCTCTCTTGAATTCCTTCACATGAAATTTTAAACATTTCTTATAAACACGAGTATGTCAAATATAAATTGACCTGAAATCTGCCCATTGGAAAAAAACAGAAAAGAGAAGCTGCAGCAGAATTCCGATTTGCATCAGCATTTTTTTCCATAAGCAAATTTTAGCCACTCATGTCTTATCATCTTCGACATAAGACACAAAAAAGGGTTAAGAAAGTAAATCTGAAGGAAATATTGAATCAGAAAATAAACACTTGTTTATTAGCCTTTTTATTCTATTTTCAAGGTAAATCCGACCTCCCTTATGGCCTACCCATGGAATTCATTTGGCAAGGGCCGACACCTTGACAGTGTGTTGGTTATGATTTTTGATTTTTAATATATTGGACCAATTTAACCTTAATAAGAGTAAATTAAAATTCATTTGAAGACCCTGACCTTAAAGCCCATTTCTCAGATACAGACCTACAGTTATATTGTACTGCTCACTGAAACAGTTCAAGTTACAGAATTATCACCCCTCCCTAAATTTGTTTAATATGCACCATTAATTCGAGACACTGTTCAGAATCAATGAATAGGAATACTGCAAATAATCAAAATATTGTAGTTCTGGGTTTCAAGCCAGTGAAATTATCTAATTATGACAGCTTGTAGACAAGCTTCCTTGCATTGGAAGCTAACATTTACTTCTAATAAATTTGGTAAGCACATGCAAGTACAGCTCACTAAAACTACCACAGGAGACTGACAGGATGAGTTTATGCCATGGAAATATGTTGTGCCACACCAAGCTGTTAACAATGCATTTACTTATTCTCGTATCTATTCTATAAATATGAGCATTATGTAGGATTGCACAAGTTTGATGAAAAAATATGTACTTTGCGAGAAGACCTTGTATGCTATGTATTGTTATTTAAAGGTGTGTGTGTGTGTGTGACTGTGGTGGTTTGATACCACAGATCACACTTCTATCAAAATGGCTGGTAGATTGCACCTTCAATCTGGTATATAGCATATACAGTACATGTCCTAAATCCCGAGTTATGAGCGGGCACCACAATTTACCCTTAAAGACCCAAAACAACCCCAAAAACACACACAAAACCCAGAACACATCAAAAACCAAATTGGATGTAAATGTAAACTTTTCACAAATGTTTAATTAATCATTTCCAGTAGCCTTGAACCACAATGTGTTATGCTGCAGTTATAGGGATTGTCAATCTAAATGGGAATACAATAAATGTTCTCTACATAGTGCACTTCATAATATGAATTGACAACTATTAACAAACATGTAGTAGATTAGTAAATTATTTATGCAAACACATGTAGTTTATATATTTGTGTTTGCAGCGCTTGCCAAACTGCCTTGCCGTGTTTTAACAATTTACTTCCCCTTACTTGCTGCAATCGATTTTGCAACGTTTCAGTAGAATAACACAGACATTAGAATATTTTGTATTTTTTGGCTGAAAGCTATCGTTGAGGTGTTTAATGGTCGTTTATGGTCTGTTTTGGGGTAAATTGTCTTGCCGATTAATATTGAAAGAACTCTGGTCTCCTGTGGAATTCTAATCATTACTTGTTTCATTCAACAGTAATTGCTTACATCAAAGATCAAAGGCACTAAGTTTGCAGTAAAACAAAAGAATATGTTATTATTTTGCCTCACAGCGAGCCAAGTGCTTTTGGTTAACATCACCATTACTGTTAGACTTGCACAAGCCCCACATATTCACACACTTGATAGGGGATACATTCCTGGGCTTTCTTACAATCAGCTTTATATGAAATTAAAATTGTTTCAATATATTTGGTGCCAGAATCCAGATATGGTTATCATAACGTAACGTACTTTTTAATTGTCGAACTATTGTCGTTTTATAATATCGATATTAGTTATGTCCTCTAGATCTATCAGTCTATTACGTCCTAAACAGCATCCACCATGTATAAACCTACAGATTGAGAAACATCTACATAGTTTCGCGGGAGAAATGTGTTTGATAAGTAAATACAAATAAACAGGAGGTTCACAAACTGCGTTTGACCATTTCATATTACATTGTAAACGTTTGGCGAAGTGACAGCACGTTCTCCCCACGGTAGCCATTTTTGATCTCTATCTCAGAAATGTTTTTATATCCTGAATAATACAAAGGAATTCATGCGAATGGTTTGTACTAAGGGCGTATATTTTCACCATTATTTTCAAGCACTTTTTGGAACATTGTTGACTTCCTGTTTATGGTGGCGAAGGTAAGACCAAGGACTGTTTAACTGCAAAATTGCATTAGGAGTTAATTATTCGGATATTTCACCACAAAACAAACAGTGAGCACGCTTCTGAAATAGCAATATGTATGAAGGAATTTACTATTACGTATATATAGATAGTCCATATTGTTAATTTGTACTTTGAAAAATCTTTGTTTAGTGCACGTGACAAAATATTTTCACTGTCTTAAATTTTACGGTGGATAATTCATCTTCGAAATGAGGGTTTTAAGTCTTAAAACGCGATATTAAGTTACTGTTTAATTTAATACCGATATATTTTCAAATGTACTGTCTGCATCTTGCTAATAAACAATGATTATTTTAAATTTACTGTCAAATCTAGACGTTTCGATACCTGGTAGTTCAAGTGCAAATGACTTCCATCATATTGAGGAGATCTGTTGAGTGTCTGGTTGGGTAAGACTGAATGCATATGCATGTAATGCTTGAACACGATTGCAGTTAGCCAGCATCTGAAATCTGATCATGACAGTATTTTTAATATTGGTATTGCTATCTACATTTGTATATGTGTCTAATGTGGTCGAGATCTCCTTATCCAAGAACCTGATATCAGTGAAGTGAACTCTCTTTTTTCTCCGATTTGATCCCTACCCATCATATCTAGCTGACATCTCATTTTAGCTATGTATTTCATCAGATTCAATATTGCGAGCATGGTCCATATAGGGGAACTAACTATTCTTTAACTGTGGGTTGTTGCATATCTATAAGGCATTTCAATATCCATTTTTTTTAGTATTTTATAGGTCCGTTGACACTCTCAGTGTCCGTTTGATATCTCAAGTTATTTTTTCAAGGGATTATAACTTCAAAGTTATTTTGTTGGTTGATATTTTTTTCGCCAACATGAGTTGTTTTGCATCTGAGATAGGCTTTTAATCTGACCAATGGTCATGGAACCTTTCTACTGTTCGGTCTTTTTATTGAACTAATCAGCCAGAAAGAAATGTTTCACTTGTATTGTAGCTTTATGACTACCATTCTTTTATAAACGGGGATTGGACGTTTTATGGCCATTAGTCTCCAGTATCATTAACTATGGTAGAATGAAACGTACTGTTTTGTCCTTGGCAAGCTTGACTTGTAACTATTTGCTTTTCAATTTTTCTGTAAGGATATATAAGATATTGGTTCTCTACGTGTAAGTGAATCACTCCCTTTATTGGTCTGTGTACTAATTCTCTATGTGTAAGTGAATCACTCCCTTTATTGGTCTGTGTACTAATTCGTCAATCAATTTGACTCCATTCTTTTGGTAACTTAACTTAGCAGAAACCACCTTCAGGTCTAAAAGGCATATATATTCCAAGTATATGCTGGATTCATTGTTATGATGTTTATTTATTGATGGTTTGGTACAGTGCCATGTAGATGGACAATGTTCAATATTCCTGATACATATGAGGCATGGAGATAGGATATTTCCTTACCAACATAGAGCTCTTTTGGGCTTGTTACCTGATAAGTGACTCTTAAAGGGACAATTTAGTGAAGTAAGTTTTTTATAACCTTAGCACAAAATTCTTCATGACTATAAAGTTTGATACTCCTTATGAACAATTCATGTTGAGAAATTGACAAAAGTAAATGTTGTCTTGGCGTTTTTAATTAGTAATGGAAAAATCATTAACTGTACAGCTGTACGTTTTAGCAGTAGCTGTCAGTGAATTTCTAGCTAACAAAATGTCTTTCCAGCTGAGGAGAGAAGGTAAATCCTCGCTTTATTTTCCTAGCCTTCAGCTCTCTGTAATACAACTACATGCATTTATTCTAAATCAAAATCATCTTCAAAAAGCATCTCAAACATCGTTATAAATGAGTCTATTTTACGTTTAAACCTATTGCTATTGTACTTTCTGGGGTTTGAAATTCTCCCTGCGGCACCCTCTCAGTGTGTGCATGCTCTAATTGAACCTGTTCCTTTTTTATTCAAATCCAAATGTGAACAGAAATATCTGATTATAGGTAAACATAAGGATACTTATAATTCTTAATTGCGATGTATTGTGTAAATTCAAGAATGTGTTATGTGTGTACTCGAGACTCATAGCTAACACTGTGTTGTCGGTCGACAGCATAGTGCTGTACATGTTTACTTCTCAATGAAACACCCGGATGTTGCGCTATTTTGGTCGTAGATACTTTTTTATCATCTACTTTCCCAAAAGATGAAACTGACCACACTGGACGTTTGCTTCAGGTCATGTCATTGTCAACTACATAAATTTTCGTTAGGAGAAATATATTTTTAGTATAGACTGGATTTTCACGTTGTCTTTTGACTAAATAGCCCCTTTAAAGGATTCAAAACCATAAGTCCTGCGACTCTTAAATACCTGAACATTGCCATTGAGAGGAGTCAAAACCATAAGTCCAATGTCTCAGTGTTTGAACAGTATCTCTCGAGCTCTTAGAACTCAAAACCATAGGTCCTGTATCTCAATGTCTAAACACAGGATCTGATAGGACTTGGAGTCATATATATATATATATATATATCATAATTGTCATGTCTGAATGCCTTTCTATATGATGGTTATTAATCTATTTTTTATACATTACAGTTCTGGTTTCCACTTCTGTGTTTTAGGGCTTTGTACTCTTAATAACATCACTTGTAAAATGGCTGTAAAAGAGATCCATGACATTGGTCAGGAGATGGAGGTGTATTGGAGAATCTGTCAGTGATGTAATGAGCAGGAGGTGAACCAAAAGAGGATGAAGCGATCCTTTGCATCATCATCTTTGTCGCAACCACAGCAGGCCAGTGGGTCCAGCAAGTTGCCAAGGATAGAAGGACAACAAAGGTCTGAAAGGGGATCTTCAAGCAGTAAACAGAAAGGCCCCTTCCCAACTAGTGGGGAAACAAAACGAGCAGGACCATACTTACTTGGTATGTGTAGATAATATCTTTTTTCCTTAAAAAAAAATGGAAAATGTTTGCTTATTGCCAAATAGTTTGTTTTTTATTTCAACTACAAAACTTATTCAAATTGAATGAATACATTAAGGTCATAGGAGTGCATTGATAAACGGAAATAGGAAGTACATCCCTAGTTGAAAATCCAATGTAGGGAGACAGTATCACAATTTCCGCATATTCTAATGTTTAATATTAAACTGATGAATATTGTATGTTTATTATTGACAGAACAGTGTGTTCTTTCAATATTAATGTATTTCAAAGCATTCCAGGCATTAATTCAGTTGTTTTTTATCAGTGAGTCACGTGTGTCCATTTTTCTGTACTTCAGGAAACCAGCTACCTATTTCACTACTGTGAAGTTTTTCAAGAACGATAACTCGTACATGCAATTACTATATGTATATGGTTATATTATAAAATGTCAATTTTTTATCGTTTATAGATAATAATTTTACACAATTTCAGTATTTATGAAATTGATATAAATTAGTGCAATACTAATCTATGTCAGTATCATTTTTAGTGATATTAGTTTTTTTCAAAATTCACTGCTTTTTGCATAAATTTCCATTTAAAATTCTGACAACCTGTGTTTTTTTGTGGCTGAAAAGTTTCTTTACTTCAAAGCAATATAACTACAAAATTTGAAGAAATTCTACTGAGAAATGGTGACACAATCCTATTACCTTAATACTGAAACTGACCACTCATGTAATGCAACTTCCTGATTATATATGTGTCACTGTGGTATTATTATTTCATGCCTTACCCTTAAAAATTTATCTGAAAAGAACTGCATATGTACAACAGTTTTATTTGGAATTAACATGTGATAATTACCCTTGCTATTTTATCTACAGGTCCTAGATTGCAGGCTTCACCTGTCAAAAGTATTGTGCAATGTTTGGCAAGGAAAGAGAACAGTGATGATTTTTATACATTAAAGGTAAATCCTCAATTGAAAATAGACTCATAAATGTATGCTGAATATGCTCAAGCATTGATATTTCATATACTACAGCATGCTTAATTAACCTAAAACATCTGGTATGAATACATTGCAAGGGTTACAAGAAGACGCTGTCATCGATAGCCCCTGCTCGCAGTGCAAATGTCATTAAAAACATGAAGCGTAACATATAGGTCAAAATCAGCATTAACAATGTGCATTCGGTAGAGCAACCCTAGATACACAATTGATGTTAATATAAATACACTTGTAGTAGACAAGATATAAATGAAAGCCAAGTCAATGAAGCATAAATATAAGTAAAAAACAGCATCCGCAATATGCATTCAGTAGAGCAGCCCTAGATAAACCATTGATGCAAGTATAACCAACATTGCATTTGAAGTAGGCAAGATATAGATGAGAGCAATTCTTCTTAACAAGGTGCATGGACGGACGGACCCCATTTCTATATCCCCCACCAACTTGTTGAGCGGGGGATAAATATGATATGCTTGCAATTGAGACATCAGCTTGTATATGTTTTCCAGCAAAATAAATATACCCAGTATACATGTTGTACATTTCAAGTATTAACTTCATCAGAACTTGGACCCAAGCAGACAAAATTATTTCATATATATCTCGGGCAAGGATTGTATAAACAAAATTGCTCAAACACATGTTCAGGGCTACCAGTTTCAGATATGTCTATTGCTTATTTACAACCTCAATTATTGTATTATTTTCTAAAACATGTTCAGCCATGTAAATATTCCTGATTTACTAGTCAAAGGCTAATGCATGAAGGATAATTGACTGACTCTTATTGTATATCGTGCGGGGCGTATCTGTTTAAAGCCAGATTAGCTTATTAATCTATTAATGCTAAATTTCATCTTGTTAATAATGAAAAATACTGCAATTAAAAACTACTATGGTGAAATAAAAAATGATTCCAACGAGTGTATGAACACAGGAAATACAGATTTTTGTAAATTCTCATATTTTTCTCAAAATTACATTTTGGAAAGGTGTGTTAATGTTTCGTAAAGTTCGCCAGGTATGAAAGAACTGACACCTGACTTGTTGTACATGTCTTACCTGTATGGTGGTTTATTGGCAGATGCTCACCCTTGAGTACCCCAATAAGGAGAGCCAGGATGACCGGCAGGGTAAGATGCTCCTGCACACTGAGTACTCCTTGCTGTCACTATTGAGGCATCAGGACGGGGTAGTCCATCACCATGGACTTTTCAAAGTAAGTACTGCGACATTTGTGTTACTTGTTCACCTATGAAAAATATACATTTACAATTTTGTGGAGAAAAAACAAAAATTGTTTGAACCTATTGAATTTTCCCCCTTAAAATCTATGTTTTATAAACAAGTCTTTTTAACTGGAAATTTGCGATAGATCAATGTATCCTAATCCTTAATTTTATGTACAAGAAATTAGTGTTTGTTTATCATCAAGGATCAAACACTTGTTATCAACACTGTATTGGGAAGTCAAAAGTGTGCAATTTAAACAGCTAATGAAAAGGGTATTATAGGAACAGAGCTTGTAGATATCCTTTTCCTTTTATGATACTAATCTGGTATTCTGGCAGCTGTTACTATAGAAACATTCAAAGTTAAAATCATATGTTTAAAAGCTGACTGAGACATGATATCCTGTTTGTATGTGTGAGTAATATTACAATTACAGTAATACTGTAAATTGTGAATATGTTCAGGACGAGGCATGGGAGGAGAGGGAAGTTTTGGACCCGTCTGGCCGTATTCAGTATACAGGACAAAGGAAGCAGCGACTTTGTCTAGTCCTGGACTGTCTCATCCCTCACGACTTCAGCAATAAAAACGCAGACCTCATCAACCTTCAGCATTATGTCATAAAGGAGAAGAAATTGACAGAAAAAGAGGCCATTGTTATCTTCTATGATATTGTCAGAGTTGTAGAAAGTCTTCACCAGGTACTGACACAGAATTGTGGTTTAATAGATATTGTAACATTTATGAAATGCACCTTCTGCACCTTTTTGCATATAAAAAAAAGAATGAATGTCTCATACTCTTACATATATTGAAAAACTAGATTATGTTTTATCTGTCAAACTGAAGTGTTTCTTTGTTTACCCTTTCAGAAAAATATTGTACACCGTGACTTGAAACTTGGAAACATGGTTCTAAACAAACGAACAAGGCGAATTATCATTACAAATTTCTGTCTTGGAAAACACTTAGTGTCTGAAAATGATTTGCTGAAAGATCAGAGAGGCAGTCCAGCATACATCAGTCCTGACGTCCTCAGTGGTAAGTATCTCTAAGTAATGGGCCGGCATACATCAGTTCTGTTGTCCTCAGTGGTAAGTATCACTAAGTAATGGGCCTGAATACATCAGTTCTGTCGTCTTCAGTGGTAAGTATCTCTAAGTAAAGGGCCTGCATACATCAGTTCTGTCGTTCTCAGTGGTAAGTATCTCTTAGTAATGGGTAGGCATACATCATTTCTGTTGTCCTCAGTGGTTAGTATCTCTAAGTAATGGGGCGGCATACATCAGTTCTGTTGCTCTCAGTGGTAAGTATCTCTAAGGAATGGGTCGGCATACATCAGTCCTGAGATCCTCAGTGGTAAGTCTCTCTAAGTAATGGGTCGGCATACATCAGTTCTGTTGTTCTCAGTGGTAAGTATCTCTAAGTAATGGGTCGGCATACATCAGTTCTGACGTCCTCAGTGGTAAGTATCTCTTAGTAATGGGTCGGCATACATCATTTCTGTTGTCCTCAGTGGTTAGTATCTCTAAGTAATGGGTCGGCATACATCAGTTCTGATATCCTCAGTGGTAAGTATCTCTATGTAATGGGCTGGCATACATCAGTTCTGATGTCCTCAGTGGTAAGTATCTCTAAGTAATGGGCCGGCATACATCAGTCCTGGCGTCCTCAGTGGTAAGTATCTCTAAGTAATGGGTCGGCATACATCAGTCCTGACATCGTCAGTGGTAAGTATCTCTAAGTAATGGGTCGGCATACATCAGTTCTGACGTCCTCAATGGTAAGTATCTCTAAGAAATGGGTCGGCATACATCAGTTCTGACATCCTCAGTGGTAAGTATCTCTAAGTAATGGGCCGGCATACATCAGTCCTGACGTCCTCAGTGGTAAGTAACTCTAAGTAATTGGCCGGCATACATCAGTCCTGAGGTCCTCAGTGGTAAGTTTGAAATAACGTTCAGGACTGTTCCATCTCAAAGTCACACCTGTCATGATGTCCTATGTGGTAAGTAGGGTCATGTTTAACTAAGAGTATTAGAATGAGGAAATGATTATAAATTTGTATCCGATATTGTAATATTGATGTTACCGCACCATGAGTTTTAACTGGAGTTTGAATCGGTCGCCTTGTTTGTTTGTAGGCAAGCCTTACCTGGGTAAGCCCAGTGATATGTGGGCCCTAGGAGTTGTCCTCTTCACTATGCTGTACGGTCAGTTCCCATTCTATGACAGTGTGCCTAATGAGTTGTTCAGGAAGATTAAATCAGCCGAGTACACCATACCAGAGTAAGTCATCAACACCATTGTCTCAGCATGCAGATAGTGCTCATTCCATCTTACAATAAGTTCTGGTGGTTACAATGCATTCAGGTTTGATACAGAAATATATTTCTCTATATTCATGATTTTTCATATAAAAAAAAGTAACCTGGTCATAATATACTCATGAAATGTTATTAAAATATTATGAGGATTTTATTTTAATTATAGAACAAAGACTACATCAGATATATATACACACAAGCACATGTATAAGACTATGTTCCTCATAGGATTCTTACTGTCATTGAAATCTGTTATCTCAACTCGTGACTATCAACATCATTGTCATTGAAAATTATCAGGTTTTGGTAACACAAATACCATTTTATAAATTTAGTATCTTTCTCTGAAAAAATTCAATCTTTACATGTCCATAAACTTGTGAGTCCAAGATATAGCATAATAAAACATGAGACATGTATTGTCTTTCTGACAGTGATGGACGAGTATCCCAGGATACCATCACAGTCATCAGAAACTTGATGGTGCTCACTCCAGAAACTAGAATGACAGCTACACAGGTGATGACAGCTCTCCAGTCTGTCATATCCAAATGGTGAGAAATATCTCACTTTTATGTTTCATTTGATTACTTGTTTCTAACAGAAATCATACATCAATAGTATCACCTCATTCTAGTATTTTACCTATAAACAGGAGTACTTTGTTTACTTTGTTTACATAAAGGGGAATATGTCAGTACTTTGTCTACATAAAGGGGTATTTGTCGGTACTTTGTCTACATAAAGAGGTATTTGTCAGTACTTTGTCTACATAAAGGGGTATTTGTCTGTACTTTGTCTATATAAAGAGGTATATGTCAGTACTTTGTCTACATAAAGGGGTATTTGTCAGTACTCTGTCTATAAAAAGGGGTATTTGTCGGTACTTTGTCGATATAAAGGGGTATTTGTCAGTACTTTGTCTTCATAAAGAGGTATTTGTAAGTACTTTGTCTACATAAAGGGGTATTTGTCGGTACTTTGTCTATAAAGAGGTATATGTCAGTACTTTGTCTACATAAAGGGGTATTTGTCAGTACTCTGTCTATAAAAAGGGGTATTTGTCAGTACTTTGTCTACATAAAGGGGTATTTGCCAGTACTCTGTCGATAAAAAGGGGTATTTGTCAGTACTTTGTCTATATAAAGGGGTATTTGTCAGTACTTTGTCCATATAAAGGGGTATTTTTCAGTACTTCGTCTATATAAAGGGGTATTTGTCAATACTTGCTATATGAAGGGGTATTTGTCAGTTGACTATAAAAAAGGGTATTGGTATTTTGCTGTACTTATAAAGGGGTATTTGTCAGTCCTTTGTCTATATAAAAGAGTATTTGTCAATGCTTTGTCTATATAAACAGGTACAGTCAGGACTTTGTCAATATAAAAGGGTATTCTTATTTGTCAGTACATGTACTTATAAAAGGTATTTATCAGTATTTTGTCAGTATTTTGTCTATATAAAGGAGTATTTGTCAGCACTTTAGTTTGTCTATGTATAAGGGTATTTGTCAGTACTTTGTCTATATAAAGGGGTATTTGTCAGTACTTTGTCTATATAAAGGAGTATTTGTCAGTATTTTGTCTATATAAAGGAGTGTTTGTCAGCACTTTAGTGTGTCTATGTATAAGGGTATTTGTCAGTACTTTGTCTATATAAAGGGGTATTTGTCAGTATTTTGTCTATATAAAGGAGTATTTGTCAGCACTTTAGTTTGTCTATGTATAAGGGTATTTGTCAGTTCTTTGTCTATATAAAGGGGTATTTGTCAGTACTTTGTCTGTATAAAGGGGTATTTTCAGTACGTTGTCTATATGAAATTGTATTTGTCAGTACTTTGTCTATATGAAGGGTATTTGTCAGCACTTTACTTTGTCTATATAAAGTTGTATTTGGTAATATATTGTCTATATAAAGGTGTCTATATAAAGGGGTATTGGTATTTGTCAGTTTTTGTTTTATATAAAGGAGTATTAGTACTTTTTAGCAAGATGATTGTATGAGTGATATTTCACTTATATTAAGTGGTGTTGATCTCCTAATTATAAGGTTCATCAAATGCCACTAAAACTGTCACCAGATGATGTACAGAAGAGACAAATTAGGAAGTCATTTCTTTTCTATATTTTCCTAATTTAAATATGATTCCTTGTACATATATATCTATACATTTAGTTTCATTATAATCCTTAAACCAAGGAATTAATCATTATAAAGTATGTTTATGTAAACTATTAGCTCACCTTGTGTGAAGCGCAATGTTGAGATTGCCCGAAGTATGTTTGTTGTTGTGCCTTGTCCTTCCATCATTGGTCTTCAACATCTGTTGTCCATCAACATTTGCATGACATCTTCAGTGGATGAAGATAAGGCACGATATAAACAAAGGAGCTGACTCTCCTAGAGTCTAAGCTATATACATATATATTATATAGAGACAGGGTAAAAATGTTTGACTCATTTGCTTGAAACAACATATTTCCCAGCCTACTTTCAATTTTCAATCGATTTGTGGTAGTAGCATCCTTTAGTTAGCTCATGATGATCCGAACATCTGTATATACATTGGCTTAAATTCATGGTGCTCTCCTTCCAGGACAGATTTCAATCTGAGTTAAAGCTTCTCTTGCTAAAATGCAAGTGGAGCACTTTAAGGCCCTTGGATCTCTTATTCGAACTCCAAATATTACATATAATATTTTTTATATGAGAACTGCCTTTCTTGATATTTAAGGAACCTTGTTTTATACTTTGCTTTATGTTTCAGTTAGAAACTTTTATCATATGTGGTATGTTTATGTAATATTGATCAATCAACTTGATTCAAACTCTACTATTATTGACAGGCGTGCCATGTCGAGTATGTCGGGGCAGATACAGGTAGTTCCTGACATTGACACCTGTCCAGCTACAGAAGAAGATAGCAGTTCATCCAGTGCAGGACCCTCTTCCGCCACATCTCAAGCCAGCGAACTCGAGCAAAGACTGAACCATATACACTCAGCTCACCATGAGTCCACAAAACCTCCTCCAAAGGCACCTCTGAGTCGGCGACGCACACCAAACACACATCCACCAATACGCAGGCTTAACACAGACGCACAACCCCTCACACAAACTGAAGCCATGTCTCATCACCAACTTCTGTCACAGCATGCAACTTAGACTAATAAATCACCTCTACCTAACCCCCTACAAAACACATACAAGGAATAAACAGAATCATCTCTTCCCATCATAATGGAATGGATGAGGGTTATGAAACACTAATGCAGTCAAGATTCTTGTGACCACCTAACATCCCCCCACCCACTCACACATTAATAAATGAGGTATATAATTCACTACCACTACCTACAAATACCTCAAGTCCTTAAATTACCATTACTGTTTATAAGGCATTAAACATGATAAGACCACTCCTATAAATACCCTTCTATTCCAATATAGTATACTGATGGCTACTTCATATCTGTAACCATCCCCACTCCCACACACGGGTGCAAAGGTCAACTCACTGCTTACACTAATTGCACCATAAAATTGCACCATTTTATCAACTCCAAGGCAATCCATAAAATAGCTAAGGTATTGGTTGAAGTGTTTATCAACCAGCTATTTACCTAAACACCTTCTGTCACTTTGATTGGTTGAAATCCTGAACTATGTGATACGTCAGTTTAAAGATTTGCTCTGTTGGACTCAGTGCTCCTCCGTTATCTATGATGTAGTAGTACCATATTGAATGGTTAAGATTCACAAATTGATAGCTTTATGAATACTCAGAACTAAGTATAATCAAATTATTCCAAAATATTTTAAATTAAGGATGGGCATAGAGATGTATACATAGCCATGTCATATTTCGTTTGTGATCATTGATGTTTATCAATTAAAAGTGTGGTAGAAAGAAATTTCACAGCTCAAGACACTTTATTTACTGGTAGACAATTTTCAAATTTTAAAAAGGGAAAATCTCAGAATTTGTTTTATTCTAAGACAACTATTAACTTCACATTTCACAAAGTAAATTAAGGTCATTTACGACCTATTAGTAAACCATCCCCTCCCATACCACACACATACATATACATATACACAGGGTATGTGTCACTGGCTATACACACCTGTAGCCATCCCCTCCCATTCCACACACATACATATACACAGGGTATGTGTCAGTGGCTATACACACCTGTAGCCATCCCCTCCCATTCCACACACATACATATACACAGGGTATGTGTCACGGGCTATACACCCCTGTAGCCATCCCCTCCCATACCACACATATACATATACACAGGGTATGTGTCACTGACTATACACACCTGTAGCCATCCCCTCCCATACCACACAAATACATATACATATACACAGGGCATGTGTCACTGGCTATCCACACCTGTAGCCATCCCCTCCCATTCCACACACATACACATACATATACACAGGGTATGTGTCACTGGGTATACACACCTGTAGCCATCCCTCCCAACACATGTATTACTGGCTATACACACCTGTAGCCATCCCTCCCATCCCACACACATACATATACACAGGGTATGTGTCAGTGGCTATACACACCTGTAGCCATCCCCTCCCATTCCACACACATACACATACATATACACAGGGTATGTGTCACTGGCTATACACACCTGGAGCCATCCCTCCCAACACATGTATTAAAAGTTAAGGCCACCACTCACACACAAATGATTTAAGGTCATTTACGACCTATTAGTAAACCATCCCCTCCCATACCACACACATACATATACATATGCACAGGGTATGTGTCACTGGCTATACACACCTGTGGCCATCCCTCCCATACCACACACATACATATACATATACACAGGGTAGGTGTCACTGGCTATACACACCTGTAGCCATCCCGCCCATACCACACACATACATATACATATACACACGGTATGTGTCACTGGCTATACACACCTGTAGCCCTCCCCTCCCATACCACACACACACATATACATATACTCAGGTTATGTGTCACTGGCTATCCACACCTGTAGCCATCCCCTCCCATTCCACACACATACACATACATATACACAGGGTATGTGTCACTGGGTATACACACCTGTAGCCATCCCTCCCAACACATGTATTACTGGCTATACACACCTGTAGCCATCCCTCCCAACACATGTAGTAAAAGTTAAGGCCACCACTCACACACAAATGATTTAAGGTCATTTACGACCTATTAGTAAACCATCCCCTCCCATACCACACACATACATATACATATGCACAGGGTATGTGTCACTGGCTATACACACCTGTAGCCCTCCCCTCCCATACCACACACACACATATACATATACACAGGGTATGTGTCACTGACTATACACACCTGTAGCCATCCCCTCCAATACCACACACATACATATACACAGGGTATGTGCCACTGGCTATACACACCTGTAGCCATCCCCTCCCATAACACACACATACATATACACAGGGTATGTGTCACGGGCTATACACCCCTGTAGCCATCCCCTCCCATACCACACACATACATATACATATGCACAGGGTATGTGTCACTGGCTATACACACCTGTGGCCATCCCTCCCATACCACACACATACATATACACAGGGCATGTGTCACTGGCTATCCACACCTGTAGCCATCCCCTCCCATTCCACACACATACACATACATATACACAGGGTATGTGTCACTGGGTATACACACCTGTAGCCATCCCTCCCAACACATGTAGTAAAAGTTAAGGCCACCACTCACACACAAATGATTTAAGGTCATTTACGACCTATTAGTAAACCATCCCCTCCCATACCATACACATACATATACATATACACAGGGTATGTGTCACTGGCTATAAACACCTGTAGCCATCCCCTCCCATACCACACACATACATATACACATGGTATGTGTCACTGGCTATACACACCTGTAGCCATCCCTCCCAACACATGTATTAAAAGTTAAGGCCACCACTCACACACAAATGATCATTATGTATATACATAAAAATGATATAACTACCTACACATATGAAATAGTTCCCTCCACATCTTCAAACGATAAGGGTATGCTTTACTAATTGTGCTTTATTTTGTTTGCCCTTCATCACATTAAGATACCTATAATTATGGCAGATCAAGTAAGCTTGTAGATGTGATGTGTTCATGTTGATATACTTCAACAAATGTGCTTTAGAAACAAATGTGATAGAATTATGTTATTGTACGTTATTGTACAGTTGTTTATACCTGTACAAGTATAAATCTGTGTTGAGATATGTGGTACGTTACCCGGCATGTGATTTTGGGGTCACAAGTTGTTGAATACCGTTAATTTGTTACTGTTAATTTTATGTAGATAAAGTTTAGAACTTCATCAGAGGTTGTTTTAGAGCTAGCACCTGTAGTACTACTATGATTTGGTAACTCCTATGGAAAAGTTACCAAACTTACTGAAGTGTTGATATTTGGTTTTTAGCTCACCTGGCACAAAGTGCCAAGTGAGCTTATGCTGTGGTGCGGCGTCCGTCGTCCATCCGTCCGTCCGTTGTCCGGCGTCAATATTTTACTTTAAATGACTTCTTCTTAATAACCGAAAGGCCTAGGATTATGATATTTGGCCAGAAGCAAACTAGGATGAAGGGCTACAAAGTTTGTTAAAATTAATGACCTTCAACCATTTTCAAGGTCACTGGGGTCAAATGTGTTAAAAACATTAAACATCTTCTTCTCGATAACCAAACTGCCCATGGAGATGATATTTGGCCCGTAGCATGCTTTCCTAAGGCTACCAAGTTTGTTCAAATGAATGAGCTTCAATTATATGCAAGATCACAAGGGTCAATTGTCTTAAAAAAACTTTTAAACAACTTCTTCTGAATAACCAAAATGCCCAGGGTGATGATATTTGGCCAGTAGCATGCTAGAATAAAGGGCTATCAAGTTTGTTCAAATGAATGACCTTCACCTATATTCAAGGTCATAGGGTCAAATATGTGAAAAACACTAAACAACTTCTTCTGAATAACCAAAACGCACAGGGTGATGATATTTGGCCAGTAGCATGCTGAGATGAAGGGCTACAAAGTTTGTTCAAATGAATGACCTTCACCCATATTCAAGGTCACAAGGAGCAAATATGTTCAAAATATTGAAACAATTTGTTCTGAATAACCAAAAGGCTCAGGATGTTGATATTTAGTCAGTAGCATGCTAGGATCAAGGACTACTATGTTTGTTAAATTGAATGACTTTGACTTATATTCAAGGTCACAAGGGTCAAATTTGTTTAAAATCTTTAAACGACCTCTTCTGAATAACCATGGGTCCCAGGATGTTGATACTTTGCAAGTTGCATCCTGTGATGAAAGGCTATAAAATTTGTTCCACATAATGACTTAATTTGCCTGTAGCTTTATTTTAGATCACTTTTAAGGTTACAAGTGTGAAATGTATTGTCTGTTTGTCATTTGAAATAAGCTTTATTGTGTAACCTGAAACATTCTTCTATGGTTTCATATTTACAAAACGTTTTGTTGATTTCAATTCTCACGTTACATTGGTAGATGTTAAAACTTTCGCTGATAGATGTTAACACTCTGTCTACTGTTTCTTCAAAAACTAGTCATGTAAATTTACAGCAAATGTTTCCCATTACACAACATGTGACAGGTAGATTCTGAGAAACTTCATTTAACACTCTGTCCTCCTGGTAATAAGATGTATTTTGAAACATATTTGTCATGTTTAGAAAGATCATATAGCATGTAAATATTGTAATAAGTACTTCTACTGTAAATGTGACATAGAGCGCAATGTGATAATCTATATAGAAATATGGAATTATGGTACTGATTTGTACATAATGCTGTCATGGTTTTGAATAAAAAGTATCTAGTAGAAAATCATGTGTATCTCTGTTATGGGCAGAGTAGAGAGGTTGTATCTAATGATAATATATATATGAGTTTACGTTAGTTTTCTTTTGTCAGTCTACTTATTTTAACACTTTAGATCTCATCTTTCCTCTCTCTTTTGACAGTGTCACCTTAGAAACCTCATCCTGTTATCTGAAAAATATGACCACATCATTTATGCCCGTGTTGAAGTGTCTGTGGGACTTTATGGCTTTAAATGATGCACACATAACATAATCCACATATTTCTTGCTGATGTGTTGCACCTTAGAGTCATACAGTTTTTGTGGTTGTAGGATTTTGAATAATAGCAATACTGGTAGTGTAAATGTGTTTGAATGAGTATGACTTCTGATACTTTATCAGTTTTCCTTGTAAAGTATAAGCAATTAACAGTCTCTAGCTTTGAACAACCTGATATTGCATTTTACATGATTAATGTTTTACTAGGTCACTGTAGTTAGGCTTATTCTTTTTAAAGGTTGTGATTTATATTTAAAAAAAACACCTAACTGATGACACGTGAATACATTTCTTAAGTGGTCAGTAATTTGTATATTTCTTTAAACTATTACCAGTAATATGTCTTCTGAAATACATTATGATCTGCAGAATTAGTTTATATTATATTTGAAGGCAGTACTGTATTTGTCCATATACATGCATAGTGCACTTGAAAAGTGAGTGCCTTTAACAACGCTGATTCACTCAAGTAACTGTCACCTATTTTCCACATTCATAAACTGCAACGATGTGCTTGATTAAAATATTGAAATAGTGAAAATATTTTGAACAGAAAGTCTTCAGTAGCTGCACTGACTTACAAGTTACAATGTATGTTGAAAAAAAGTATTCAATTTATTTTGCTAGAATACATTTTCCATGAGACTTAAGTGTTGGCAACCTCCTGTTAGGGAACAGTAACTCTTGTAATGGAATCCTTCTTTTGTATATATTTATAAACAGCTTCATAAAGATAGGGCAATTGTTTTGTTTAGGGCGACTTTTTGAGGTGATGTCAGCTGTACACTGAAACCATCCTGTTGTAATGACTGGTGGTGCACTCTGTGACAGATTTTCTGTGTTCAAATTTGTACCATCTTATCAATGTATTGTATATTTTTTAAAACCATTTACCAAGATATGTGCAATAATATGGTATGTGTTTTTTATTCATTCTTTTATGCTCATGATTCTGCAATCAGCACAGGGGACTGTAGAGTTACTCCATTCTCACATTCTTTTCATTTGCTCTGTGCTGAAACTATATCATAAACCTTCTGTATTAAGTGGAGGAGAGAACATTACTTTTGGAATGATGATCATAATAATAATATAAGAGATTGCTTACTGTTCAATTTATTGCAAATCTACCTCAAATTGGAGCAAATAAAAAAAGCCATCATTTGATTCTCAAATTAATGAGAAGAATAATTTGAGCATTAAGCTGTTCAAAGTTATAGTCGTATATATATATATATATATGATTCTGAACAATATTGGAGACAATTTAATTTAGGATCATGTTGCAGTCCCCTGTGATCTTCAGGAGCCAATTTACATTGACTAAACAGCACATGAATAGCTACAATACTTTGTCTCATGCCAAATCTTCTGAGTACAAGTTTTCTGTTCATTCAGGGCAGATATATTTAACATTGTTTATATCCCGTTTAAAGATTATAGAATATTAGAACCATATTTAAGAGTGCATGTTAGAAATGAATGTAGCTTTTATTGTTCATTCATCAATCATATAAATGAGCTTCTCTGTGTTTAAGCATTATTTATTGACATTTGAAATGAAATCTCACATTAAATATTTTGTGCCTACGTAGGTTGTAGATATCTTCTTTATAAAGGTTAAAACTTGTTATCTATTACTCTAGTACGGTAGCCTCTTAGTGAGGTTAATGTAACAGAGCAATTTCATATGGTCAGCAATGTAGAAAGTCACTGGCTTATATTTCATTTTTGCTATCCTTCTTAGCACGTCATGCTATGTCAACAATTTACGTTTGTTTATTTCTTCTTAAAAATTCACTGAACCTAATTTATTTTACTTACAAGAATGATCATTAGGAAAAGGGGATCCAAAATATGAACCCTTATAAGGGGCCCACAAGAAACCAACGAGAAACCAGTGTCAGTTCCCTAGATAAAACGTGATCACACCAAAGTTATGAAAGTTATACAGTGCATTGCAAATATTTCCTAATTTTGGACATTCCCTGTCAGCACCAAAGGAACAACACCCTTTCCTATATAACATTTGATTCCCAAAGGAGCTTCATAGCAAATTTGGTGAAGTGCAATTTTCTTTTCAGTATTTTATAAGTTTGTTTTGATTACCTCTCCTTACTGCATACATGTATCATTACGGTGTGTATGGTAGATGTTAATTTTGACGTCATTTTCTTTCAGTTTGATACTTACCCATGTTCCATTTCATAAATAAGACACATTGACTAGACAACTCCTGTTGAACTGTAAAACTGATTTTCAACAAGAATATTTATATGACCAGTAGGCCTACCTGAAATAATGTTGCACTAACAATTTACTAGTCACTCTAACCCTTTTAGCTTGTCAGGAATGAGTTTGGTATATTACAAAACCTGTGGCTTACAGTTGTTGTCTATTAAACAATAGCATCATCTTCTTCCTTAAATACGTCTTCAGTATATATATTTACGATGTGGTTGTCCTACAGTTATACAAAGTAATGACAGAGTACTACCGGTATATAATCAGGTCATCACTGTAAACTTGTTAAACTAGATGTTTACCAGTAATGACAGAGTAATATTGGTATATGATCAGGTTATCACTGTAAACTTGTTAAACTAGGTGTTTACCAGTAATGACAAGAGTACTACCGATATATAATCAGGTCATCACTGTAAACTCGTTAAACTAGGTGTTTTCCAGTAATGACAAGTACTACCGATATATAATCGGGTCATCACTGTAAACTCGTTAAACTAGGTGTTTTCCAGTAATGACAGAGTATTACCGGTATATAATCAGGTCATCACTGTGAACTCGTTAAACTAGGTGTTTACGAAATACCTAGTGTGCATACAATTTGCATTTGTCTAAGACTTGGATGTTAAACACATGTGAGATTGATTAATAAACTTGCTCGTTATTATCTGTTCTGTTAACTTAGTTTGTTGGGATTGAGAAAAGAATATACCAAGGTACGTGGCTACTTGATCACATCACTGCATGATTGGTAAGTTGAGACTAATGCTGAAACAAGCATCTGCTTTTATAAGCTCATGCGAGGTATTGCCATCCATCTTCGTCTGTTGTGCTTTAATAATTGAACATTTTTGACTTCTTTACCACTCCTGCGTTTGACTTCAAACTTGTACCAATATTCCTTATGATGAACTGACAAAGTTTTGCTAATTTTCGTACCGATCCCAAATAAAATAGAGGGCCGGAGTGCCGATATAAAAAAGTCGAGGTAAAAGAAACGTTCGAAAAAAAGGGGCACAACCTCATAATAATTGGAGTGGGGTTGAAATATTAATCTGTGTGTTGATTACATCAGTAAAGTTTCATGCAATTTGGCTAAAAACTGCAAGATGAAATTGTGTCCAGACAGACGACCTAATTACAAAATACCCCAGCCAAGCCAACTTTTATGCAGGTGGTTAAAATATTTTAACTGAAGAACACCTTTTCAAAAATTTGACCCCCATAATCTTTTATCAAAAGTCGATCGAGGATTACCTTGTTGGACAAATTAGGTAGCTCTTCATCCAGGCATGCTACGTGTACTGGCCAAATACCAGCATCGCTTGCTATCCAGTTATTTATACAATTCACTGAAGAATGCTGGTCAACATCATCATCATAGATCTTTGATATCAGGAGCAGTATACCCTATTGACCGATCATGGATTTGTTCGAGAAGAGCATCTGGACATCAGAATTGTTTTTAGCTATGCTGACCTTCCACCTCCTCCAACACACCATGCCAAGATTCAATGATACTTCCCTCAACATCTGGTGGATCATGCCCAGGTTTGTTCAAATGAATGACCTTTACTTAAATTCAAGGTCACAGGGGTCAAACATGTTTGAAACCTTTATACAACTTCATCTAAATAACTAAGAGGCCTAGGGTTATGATATTTGGCAAGTAACATGCTGGGATGAAGGGCTACCAAGTTTGTTCCAATAAATGACCTTAACTTATATTTAAGCACAACTCAACAATCAAATCATCCACACTTGCTGTTCGCCGACAGTAAAGGTTGATCAATGTCATTCATTCCAGCAAGCTATTGAGAAAATATTATCCTAGGCCTGTTCAGGCTGTTGATTATAGGGGAAATCCTTGAATTGAAAATTAAATTTTCCTAATTAATTCAGCACTCTTAAGGATTAAGAGCAGTGGGCCATTTTCCGCAATTTTTAGTCAATATCAAAATTTAGCATTTAAAATAGGTACATGAAGGGGTCAATGGCTCCCTCCAGGATAATCCCTGTGATCAAGTAGAAGTTATTAAAAGAAAAGGTTGATGTTGGACAATCTGATTAAAATCATGGCTTCATTAACTTCGTACTACGCCTGAACATCTGAGTGTGCCACGGTCGGGTGACCTTTATATTTATAAATACTCATTAAATTTTGACCAATCAGAGACCCTCTTTCAAAAGGGCGGTTGGAGTTGTAACAAATATGGCAGACATTGATGAGAATGATGCGAAAGTTCTCAAGTTATTTGAGATTGATGGTCTGAAACCTGAACAGAAAAAGATATTCGAAGCTTTATTAGAGAAGAAAGACTATGGCGGTGTTGCCTACGCAATTATTACCCAATGGGTATGTTTTCCTTTGCGTCGTAGAAAAGTAAGTACCCGCCGCCATATTTGTTTTGGAAAACTAAATTGTTTGATACCCCTTGCTATTAATCTATCAACCATGATATTCCGATTCGATGGCAAACATTTGCCAGCGCGCCTCCGATTGGTTCATCTAAAGGTCACTTGAACGTGACCCTGACCGCGGCACATTCAGATGTTCAGGCGGAGCCATGTAAAAGATGATTTTAATCAGATTGGATGTTGGACAGATGCTGCGCCACAGCATTAGCTCACCTGGCCTTAAGCTACAAATCTCAACAACAAAATTGCCATCACAGTAGTTACTTTATTGGGACAAGTCTGTTTAGTAAATTCTCTGGGATGGTGTCATGGATCCCTTGATGTAGAGAGCACGGACATTCTGCCAGTTCTTCTTCAACAGAGATATCAGGAAGTTGATGGACAGTGTGATGTTGGAATACAGCTCATCAGCACCCATTTCCACATGTCCCACGCATACAGCCAAACACAATACCTGTGGATATATGGAGACTTATAAAAAACCAACATTTGACCCTAGATCACTGTTAAAACTAAATAATTTCATTTTAATAGATAGTTCAAGCAGAATCTGACTGACGTGCATGGAATTATAAACAAATTTTCATTGGGAAAACCGTATATTCCATCATAGATATAAGAAACACAAAATTATTTTTTCAAGAAAACTTACCTTTTTCAACTGGAATTTGATGGTTGCCTTAGTTTCCTCAATTTTGGACACCAGTGACTCGTTGTGCGTGACCTGGGAGGGAAATTTTCCTGCTCTGTTCAAGCCTGGTCCAAGGATCCTGGGAATGGTCTTGATCAGAGAGTCGGACGCAAGGAAAGCATCATACTTCTTGGCTATAAAGCAAAATTTTGCATGAAATATTTGTTTTCTCAAACTTTACGTTAGTATCTTTTGCCGAAATAGAGTTCTGCCTCAGTTTTCTTCTCGTCATGGTATATATAGACAATCAGACAATACATGCAAATAATTGTTCATCATTGGCAGGAAGGAGACATATTCAGCTTCAGTCAAGCAAATGTGCTGTTTCTTTTCAATGCATCTACCTTTTAGATCTTGCATGCAATTTATGCCGGATCCACAAACTTGAGTTATGAACACTTGGCCCAGCCCCCTCTTAGATTTTCTCCTTGTCAAACAATATCAAATATCATAATTGGAACCTCTGTTCCACAGATCTCGACTTATTTAATGGGCTTATTTTTCTGGTTTTTTTGTGTTTTTTTTAAAAGATATTCAAATGTCACGCATTGATCGACAGTAAAATAAAAATCACAATCATAAAATATACAAAGTAAAAAGTGATCAATACCCAGCCATCATTGGTTGACTAATGAGACACTAAAAATAATCATAATAGGTACATTTTTAAATCAATTAATTCATGTACAGAAGTTGAGAAGTTAAAACATCAAATCGTAACGTATATGTTCAGTTGACTGGAAGGGTCAGTTCAGGACAAGTGACGTCATCAGGTGTTGTTAATACAAACTTAGTACATGTACAAACTACCGGGTATGCCCTTAAGTTTCAGTAGGGTTCGTAACACGAATAAGGTTGGCAAACCTAATAAAAACTGCACCTGTTAATATGACCGGAGGGACTAAATCACTGTAAGAGACAGATTAACTTAAAATCCCTTAACACCACACACGGCGGATCATTCTCTTAGGTAGGAGAATGCCAGTTCATATGTACTTATGCAAATTCAGAACACTGCCAAGTTGCTAAATCGTTTCAACAACACTTGCATAATCTTACTGTTTATTGGGATATGCGAGGTGTCTGGTCACTAGGATTATATCGAAATATCTCCCACCTCCCAAACCAAACGTGTGCGCAAGTTCTAGAAAGGATTTGTTGTGACCATTATGTTATCAGAATAACTGTTATCCGATCAATCAAGCCATGTACAATTTGCTTAAAATCAAGACATATGGTAGATATTACACTGATTATCAATTATATATATATAATGAAATATTTGATATAGCGCCCTTTCTAGCTAGAATAAGCCTTTCCATGGCGCTTTACAGTACATGTATAAGTACAATTAATGCAATTTTTATTATATACATGTACATATATTAATCAATTCAATAACACTTCCATTTCCTCAGGCTTGGATATTTTGTAAAAAAGTTATTTAATTTTAGTCCTCAAAATTTTAAGATTTTCATAGTACCACAAACATTGTTTTTTTTTGGGACCTTTTGCAAGGAAAGCATCATACTTCTTGGCTAGAAAGCAAAATTTTGCATGAAATATTTGTTTTCTCAAACTTTACGGAAGTATCTTTTGCCGAAATAGTTCTGCCTCAGTTTTCTTCTCGTCATGGTATATATAGACAATCAGACAATACATGCAAATAATTGTTCATCATTGGCAGGAAGGAGACATTCAGCTTCAGTCAAGCAAATGTGCTGTTTATTTTCAATGCATTTACCTTTTCGGACTTGCATGCAATTTATGCCAGCATCTCAAACTGGAGTTATGAACACTTTGCCCAGCTCCCTCTTATCATGATTGGAACCTCTGTTCCACAGATCTGGACTTATTTAATGGGCTTATTTTTACAAGTTACCGCTTATCAATAAGCAATCTTACCCAGCTTTTTCACTAGTTTCTTGTCCTTGTTCAGTTTCTTCAAAGTGTCTGCGTCCATGCAGGGAATATTGTTAGCATTAGCCTGGTCACAATGAACCTGGTCTCCGAGAACACAGACCCTCATCTTTGGACGGGGCACATGTCTCAGTCTGCAAAGGAATGTTTGTAAAATTGGAACTTTTCAAACAAAAACTTGTCCAATCAATCCTTTAAAGAGACATACTGTGCCTATGATTGGGACCAAGTTATTGCCCACAAAATATATATGCAAAAGAAAAACCTTGTCTAGTGTCAATATTAGCAGCATTTTCAGGCAACCCTTAACATCTATGAATTTTGAAGGTCAAAACATGTAGCATTTTCAAGACATGTCTTCTATTACTCAGGAGTTAAAACTCATTGTTGCGAGTCAAAAAACTTATTCTCAAGGGTCAACTGAAAGTGGAAAAAGATGTTGTGGCCACACTTGAGGCGCACAAAAAACCCTTGCTCCTCTTTTGTTTTCTATATGTGTAACTGAAATTACATAAATCTCCATAGTAAATTAACTATTTCCCCCCGAAACTCATCACATCAGTTGCTGATTTTATTACCCTTAAACTTGATTGAAAACCGATAGAATAAAACTTGTCCTGGTGATAGGTAATGCTACAATTTAGGTTAACATACCCAAACCTCTAGAAGACACTTGTTCTGTCCAGCCTGTGTCAGATGTCACAGAGACGGAATATCATATTAGGGGTGGAAAACGTCAATGGTCGGCCCAGTGGAAATATGTATCCACAAGAGCCTTCCCAGTTGTTTCATGACCTTGGGTGGGGGTCAGTAAAAAAAAGAAATATTAAGGGGGCATCATTTGTCGGTATTATAGATAACACCTTCCCAGTTGTTTTATGACCCAGGGTGGAGGTCCAGATTCATTTTCCTTTGCCAGTGAAGTCATGATGAGGATTATGCATACTTGACGGTTCCAGAGAAACGCTTGTCCTTTTGAGGATCATAGTTCTTCAAAACAATCTGAAGCTCAACAGACTGGGTGAACTTCCTCTTCTTTTCCTGTGAGGCAGTGAGGACCCCAGTGATGGCCTCGTACAGGTTGTCCCTTGAAATCTTGCTGAAAATGTAATTGTTTAGTCAGCAAGATGTTGTGCAAGTCGACATAATTAATTCGTTCTTGAACATTTTAAAAATAGTGTTTAAGATTTCTTTCATTGCTCTACAGAGTGGAAACTAGTACTAATATTAAAACACTGCCTCCTCTGCCCTGGCCGGGTATTAAATCGATCCCATGCCTTGTAATGGAGCAAGCCTGGTGTGAATCACACCAGGGCGATTTTAGAATTAATTGACAGCACATTGGTCCGCATACATAAATATGGTTGTAGTATGAACTATTTCTGTTGATATCCTGCACAACTTGAAAGTTAAACTCTGCCTAAAATGTCGTCAAATTATCAGGTTAACGTAGCAAGCGTAATCGAAATCTGAATTGACTGCCATGTTGGAAAGTTCGTCTCTCTTCTGATATAGGTCAGACGTCCAAATATGGGTGTCATGACTCAATATGGAAATTGTAGTAAACATGGTGGCATCAGTATTAATACTGTATTTGGCCATGCAGGCCATATATAGAAAGGATAATCGAGATAACATTACGTGTGATCGGTCATTTCTAAAAAAACATCCCAAGACGGACTTAAACATTTTCGTAAAAGAGTTTTTGCATGGGCAAGGATTCGTTTATGTAATATTTTGATATACATTATATTCATATGAGGCGTGAATTATATGCAACCTTACAGATTAACACTTTTGATTTTGCTCCAATAGTTGGCATAGGACCGCTTCGTAGCTCTGACAACGCAATATATAAAAAAATATCTCTCGTCAGAAAGCTACGTTATCGCAGCTATCTGGAAACATCCCTTTATTGAATTATTAATACAGTAACAATTTATAACAGAGACAATGAAAGAAGTGAAATTAGAAAGGTTTGAATTAAATCCATTAAGTAATAACGAGTTACATCTGTGCACAAAAATATATCAATCCCGATGTCCAATTTTGTGTCAAAACTGGTAGAGCCTTTGTCAACAACGTATATGACTTGAAATTGTCAATGTTCTTGTTATAGCTACTTTAAATCACTTAGGAATGGAGGTGTAGCCAAATTAAACTGAACTGGGTGAATCATCAATAACCAGGTAGCTCAATTGGTAAAGCGTCAGTTAATTTATTTTCGTGCACAATTAAACCTCATTTTAATATTAACTGATGCCAATTAAGCTCTATAGTCTATTATTGATAAGAACTTTTGCAACTTTATAAAACCACTATTTTATTTATCATACGAGGGCGTGATCTCAACCTGCTCACTAGTATTTGCACGTGACATTATATGCTTTATTCGACATTTAAAAGGAAACTTTTTTTCACATCAAGTGCCGCACTATTATGGCAGGGAATATTCCTGCTAACAAGAAGTGCTACTTTTCTCTCAAATGCATGTTTCCGTATTTGGGCATTGAACATTTAATCGTACAGCTTATCCATCAACTTGAAAATCAAGAAAAATACAAAACATCAAATTCATAATGTTACTTTTGCATAAGAAAGATGTAGTGTGTTAAAATACACACTAGCGGATTTTGAAGTGTGGTGAAATACAAACCAACGTGTCAACGCAAAATATTCTCTAATTATTAAATTTTCAAGCTTTAAACTAAAATATCATAAGCAATACACATAACTATCAATACATAAACTTCATTAGCTTCGATTATGAATGTTTCGTGTTAAATTCTTTACATAGTAGCCAAGATTATTTCGGATTTTATTTCCTCGTACAATTTTACCTCATGATTGCTTGGAGCACCAACCGGAAAGGAACTTCGAGGTAACGGGAGTTCACGTTTAAGACGAGACTTCCTCTCTCTCTATTCGGCAGCCATACTTCCAATAATCAGTTATCAGTAATATTGCAGTATTTCCACAAACCAGTTCAGAAGATATGGTGAAATAGAGTCAGCTTAAATACCATTGAAGATGGTAACTGGAGAAAACACCCAAGTCGTTCCCATAGAGGTAAGAATGAGACCTTTCCCTGAAATGTTACAGCAGTTCACAGTACACGAAGGCTGTGTCAGATAAATATTGTGCATTGTACACTGTCATTGTCATTAACAATATATATAATGTTGCTTCATTGTTTTTAAATGCTATTTTCTTTTTCTTTTAAAATTTTGCATTTAATCTTTAAATTCACGATTGTCTTGAGATAAATCAATGTCATTATTTTCTACAAGATTCATTTTCTGTTTTCGGTTTTGATCCCTATATTNCTTTTCCGCTACTTTTCGACACTTTTCGGCTTTTACCCATACCGCCTATATTGTCGGAAAAGTTGCATTAGGCAGTGGATCCACTTTGATATCATAAGTCCAAGAGAAGATACATGGTCAGCGATCCCCATATTAGCAGATTAGTCGCCAGACGCCTGTTACGATTTTTGGGAAAGATTACAAGTCTGAAATTCTCTCAATAATAATAATAGTAGTAATATGAAAAAATAACCCCATTATATGTTTTTTCATACACTGCGTATCATACTGTAGTTGTTATTCCTTTATATAACTATTATAATTAACTATTGACAGAATTCATGACTCCCTTAGGTAGACCAGGCCTGTTATTTTCTAATGCCCCAGAACCGAAAGGAGTGAAACCCCACGTTTGTAGTGAAAAAGTCACGGATTCTTACTGCTCATTAATGATATAACTAATGAAATTCATACTCATATTAAATTCTTTGCTGATGTCACATCATTACATGTACTTGTTGATGAAGATGTGGTTGCCTGATGTATGGATCTAAATGAAGATCTTGACTATTAGAAATTGGGCTAACCAATGGAAAATTAATTTTAATCCTGATAAAACTGTTGCATTAACTGTTACAAAAAAAAACGGAATCATACTCCACTTCTCTTTGACAATCAAATAGGAAATGAAATAACTCATCATAAACACTTATGTCTGTTATTCAATTCCAAAGGTTCATGGAGTAATCACAGCCAATGTCTGTTATTCAATTCCAAAGGTTCATGGAGTAATCACAGCCAAGAAATCTATGAAAAAGCATGCAAAAGATTGAATGTTTTATGGACACTCAAATACAAAGTTGACAGAAATGCTTTAATTACACTATATTGTTCTTATGTAAGACCTATTCTTGAGTATGCAGATGTTATTTGGTGAAGCTAAATTATTAGAATCTGTACAAATTGAGGCCATGAAAATAATAACTGGATTATGAAGTGGAACATCACATCAGAAACTATATACTGAAACTGGGTTTGAACTGCTCTCTTCTAGATCTAGGCGTCATAAGCACAAACTTATTTTAATGTTTAAAATCATAAATCTTATGACACCTGAATATTTACATGACATTGTTAAACCTTATTTTAATGATGCTGTTTCACCTCATAATCTTAGACGACAACACAGATTTTTTAATATTCCTCACTTTATTATCTATTTGGCAATAGTTTTTTTCCAGATGTCATGAGAATATATGGAACTCTCTTGATTCTGAAACAATCTCAGCACCATCATTAAATATATTCAAATCCAAATTGAATAATGAAAGAATCCCTCTTGTAAATATTACTCCAGTTTTTCTCAATTGTAGCCCTAGAAAGTTAAATGTTATCCTCTGCCAACTTAGAAATAATGCCAGTGACTTAAATTTTGACAAATTTGCTGACCATCTATCTCCTGATTCTAAATTGTCCTTTGTTTATTTGTAGTACAGATTTTCGTCCAGTAGGTCTGTCTTACAGATACTGATAATATATAACAGAATTCATTAAAATTGTTGAAAATGTACAGTTCAGTCAGATCATGTGTTATTGTCCTAATTTTTGGCATGGATGTTCATGTGGGGTTTAAGAAGCACTATATGGATTTAATTTGGGAAATTAATTCCTCTTTTTGGAAATTTTGGACTTAACTTTTCTCGCGCGATTTCTTGGTTAAAATTTTGGTGCATGTTTCTTCAGTGGTGTACAGTTCAGTCAGATCATGTGTTATTGTCCTAATTTTTGGCATGGATGTTCATGTGGGGTCTAATTTAACTAACAAAAAATCATTGGTTAGGGTCAGACGGGCGTATTATACATTCATTTGCGGTGCTCTTGTTATAAATGTTATGATCATTTTGTTGTGTGAATAAAAATACAATACCATTCAAAAGCAAAATCACAAGGTTTAATAAGACTGACAAAATCATTTTCAAAAGTAGCATGAGAAATGATGAACAATGTCTGTACTAAGTTTGTGATACCATGAAATTTATCAGATTCTGATCTTAAAATCAGGGAGATGGTTATGAGTCTGTGACTCCCTGTGTCAAAACATGTTATCAAGTCTATTCTTTACTGAACAATTGATATGAAAAATTGAATGAGTATTTGAACCGAGGAACATTAGAGGATTGATTCTATCTTGCTATTTATCACTGTTACTATCCACTTTTACCTCTATATGTAACGTTATAAGATCATTAGATAAACCCTAAAGAAAAGTAACTGTAGTAAGTTTAATTTATGGTCTTTTAGTTATCAATGCTTTGCTCTGAAAATACATTATTACTTTCAAATTGTATTCAGCCTGATGGACAGTGACAGGACAAGACATTGTTATTTTTAGGGTAAATACTCCACTCAGTGGGACTTGATTTAGTCAGTTCTTTTTTTTCCATTTCATGAAAAAAAATCCAAATGAATAAGATAGTTCTCTTTCTGTTTGTATACTCATTTAATTTAGTAATTAACAATTTTAGTATTGAGCTGAATCATTATTTATTTTTTTAAATTGAAAGATAAAATTGAAATTTCCTAACATAATAGATTAGAAAATTCCCCAAATACTTAAAAAAAAAAATCCCCAAATACTTAAAAAAAAATTCCATCATATTAAATAAAGCATGTTGCTGTGAATGCATTGAAAATATTTGCTTATGATTTTTGAATTAGTTTTATTTGATGATTGCAACTTACATTGATCTATTTTCAAATAGAGGAAAATCTCAGGAGTATTTCTACTTATCAATTAGAAGAATATTCCTAGTCATGAGTTAGAAGATGCATTACATGTACACTTGCTGTCTTTCACCAGAATGTGTGTGTGGCAGATGAGCAGAAGTTCCTTTGCGTCGTCCGTGATATGGTCGATGTTAATTGTGCAGCCATCAAGCACACGTTCAACCTGCCAGCATCAACCTCTGTGGCAAGACTAATTTCGGACCTAGCAGAGAAATTTGCCTATTTAGCAGAGACAATTTCGATCCACTATGAAAAACAAATTGGATCAGAAACAGAGGAGGTAAGTATATCAAATATGTCAAACAGGCTATTCATATAAATATATATATATATATAGGTACATGTACAGAGGACTAATAACTAGGATCAAGTGTGTTTTTTTGTGTAAATATACCAATACCATAACATTTTCTTCCGACAAAGTTAAATGACACATGACACTAATAGTAATGTTCTTTGCCTCTTTTGAGGAAATGATGACTGTTTAAATTTTTTTCTTTTCAAGAATTTTAATCAAAATTAAGAAACATAATTGTCATGCATAGTTTAGGAATACCTGATAGGCTGGGTAAAAAATAGAGGTTAATATTTATCCCTGCTTTTCAACCAATCCTATGTTGAATCACAACCTGGAAGTGTAAATGGTTCAACAATAACCCCTATTTGACTAAATCAAAGTGTAAGATGCCAAGTTAGCTGTTCTTTTCAGTACATTGAGTGAATTCAAGCAAAAAATGCAGGGAATCCTGTTGATTTAAAAAAACAAATTAAGCTGAAAATCAAGTCTTTCTCTAAAATGTGTGTCATGTTTGTTTCTTTATAGTATTAGTTTCATCATATTATGTAGAAATTGTAAACAGTAATATTACCGGTATGTTTGGTACAATTAACTTATCTAGAGAAATAAAACAAAGTGAGAATCCCACTTCAGTATCTCTTATCAGAGGCTTCCCTCGTATGAATTAAAGATTTGGGTAAGATTTGTTGGACAATAACTCATCCTTATCCCTTTGCTAGATACAATTGGAGCATTACCTGAACAGGTCTTTGTCTGACATATGTGTAGCAGGAGTAAGACGCCATGACTTCACCATCTGTGACCGAGAAGGAGTTACTGCAAAGAAAGTGGAAGCTTCACCACCGGTATTTAATTTCATTCTGGCATGTTTTGAATTAAAATTTGAATTAAGCTTTTAAGGAAGAAGAGTTTAAAGAATAAATTCTTGTCCTGTTTTATATGTTCTTGGGTAATTTTAATATATATACATGTATTGAGGTTGAGTCATCTGATAAAAACATTGACGGGACAGTAGGATAATATCATTATATATATATGTACTTTTGTACCTGAAGAATCTCAAGAAATCAGAAAAAGCAAAGTAGTCAGTCAGGTGTCTTTATTACAAGAGAGGGGGATACAGTATGTTTTACTGAACTGCCATATTGTCTTTTGCAGCAACAGTACATTGCAACATGTGCCACAGAGGCAGAGGCAGATACGGCCGGCTCCTCAGATGTGGTGGCATCCTCTTCAGGCTACTACACTGGTGGTGCAAGTGGCACTAGTTCTGGTGATGTTTATACGTTCTCAACCTACTCAGACAGTTCCTACAGTTACTCTGCTGCTGTTATGAAGTCTGACACAGGTACGTGGTCCCCCTGATAAACAGTTCCTACAGTTACTCTGCTGCTGTTATAAAGTCTGACCAGGTACGTAGTCCCCCTGATAAACAGTTCCTACAGTTACTCTGCTGCTGTTATGAAGTCTGACCAGGTACGTGGTCCCCCTGATAAACAGTCCTTACAGTTACTCTGCTGCTGTTATGAAGTCTGACACAGGTACGTGGTCCCCCTGATAAACAGTTCCTACAGTTACTCTGCTGCTGTTATAAAGTCTGACACAGGTACGTGGTCCCCCTGATAAACAGTCCCTACAGTTACTCTGCTGCTGTTATAAAGTCTGACCAGGTACCTGGTCCCCCTGATAAACAGTTCCCACAGTTACTCTGCTGCTGTTATAAAGTCTGACACAAGTACCTGGTCCCCCTGATAAACATTTCTTACAGTTACTCTGCTGCTGTTTTGAAGTCTGACACAGGTACCTGTTTCCCCTGATAAACAGTTCCCACAGTTACTCTGCTGCTGTTATAAAGTCTCACACAGGTACGTGGTCCCCCTGATAAACAGTCCCTACAGTTATTCTGCTGCTGTTATGAAGTCTGACATAGGTACGTGGTCCCCCTGATAAACAGTCCCTACAGTTACTCTGCTGCTGTTATGAAGTCTGACACAGGTACCTGGTCCCCCTGATAAACAGTCCCTACAGTTACTCTGCTGCTGTTATGAAGGTTGACACAGGTACCTGGTCCCCCTGATAAACAGTTCCTACAGTTACTCTGCTGCTGTTATGAAGTCTGACACAGGTACCTGGTCCCCCTGATAAACAGTTCCTACAGTTACTCTGCTGCTGTTATAAAGTCTGACCAGGTCCGTGGTCCCCCTGATAAACAGTCCTTACAGTTACTCTGCTGCTGTTATAAAGTCTGACACAGGTACCTGGTCCCCCTGATAAACAGTTCCTACAGTTTCTCTGCTGCTGTTATAAAGTCTGACCAGGTACGTGGTCCCCCTGATAAACAGTCCTTACAGTTACTCTGCTGCTGTTATAAAGTCTCACATAGGTACGTGGTCTCCCTGATAAACAGTTCCTACAGTTACTCTGCTGCTGTTATAAAGTCTCACGCAGGTACGTTGTCCCTCTGATAAACAGTTCCTACAGTTACTGTTAGAGTTTCTATGGCTACTCTGCCACTCTTATTAAGTCGGACAGATATAAAAAAAACTCGTTTTTTGAAGGTTAAAATATGCTTTTGTAGAAAAAAAAAAATACTAAAATGTATACGCTGTTGATATTTTATAAAGAAATATCAAATTTGAAGATGATGTAAATATTCATTATGAGTTTGAACTGGAACAACAAACATCTGTGTACGTTTGTGTTTAATTGTGTTTCTACCATATAGTATCTACAAATTTCACCACTTCAAACCTGTGTAATAAACAGCAGTGGAATGATGTCTAAAATAACCATGGGTTTTACCACTCCCATCCTGTGTAACAAAAGACAGTGGGAGTTACGAACATGTTTTCTTTATACCACATGTGGTATTCAGGCTAGAAGCTTTTCATTGCTTAAACAAGTGATGTTACTGATTTGTGACGTCATACTTAAAAGGAAGTTACGTTTTGTGATGTGGAGAATTTTTTCTGATCAGAAACTGATCTGTTTATTAAAAGCATAAATATTACTTTCCATGGAATCATATTCTTTGACTCCTGATGGTTAAAAAAAGAACATAAATAGATAGACATTATCTGCGACTTTGTTTGGGAACCTTGTTGAGGTTCGTTTATGTGGTGGTTGTTTACTTCAGGCTATGTAGGACTTGTAAACCAAGCGATGACATGCTACCTCAACAGCTTACTGCAGACACTGTTTATGACCCCAGAATTCCGGAATGCTTTATACAGGTAAGTTGAATGTTTGAAAATGAAGTTTCATTGGTCACTACAGGTACACCTCCAGATTTCAAATTTAATACAAATTTAAAATAAGATTTGAAAATGGTATACAGCAAAAATTGAGACTTTGAACCTTGTTTATAGTCTTCTATAACATGCCTGCAATGACAGGAAAATCATTTAGATTTGTAATGATTGGTATACTAAGAAATTTGTTTATCTCGCAATTTTTATTTTTATCTCACAAAACATTTTGACAATGATACAACTAGAAACATTCGTCTCCCTTTTGTTGGGTTCTGCAGAAACCTTAAACAACTGGTGATGATGGGATAGATTTATTAATATTGGAAATGAATTTTGCAATTTAGTCTCTGAAAGATACCTTTCACTGTACATGTAGGTGGGAATATGATGGAGCGCATAAAGAATCAGAAAAGAATATTCCGTACCAGCTACAAAAATTATATCTACAATTACAGGTAAGTGGGTTTTGTGTGTGTGTGTGTGTGTGATTTTGTTAACAGACCCAGAAAATGATACAATATATGAAAAGATTCTTCACAAATTTGTCTAAAGGAATAGTTGTCTAGGTTATTGACTCTTTTCAATCCAAACTCATATTTTAGATTGCTTGTTTTAGTAACACAATGAAAGTTAAATTTATGTCTGAGGTTAAGTCTGAGCTCTGTTCAGGTTTGCGGCATCATATGGGTCTTACTGCAGCAGTGTTATTGTTTATGATACATATATGCTATATAGAGTGGAACCACTAGTCCAGCCTAGGACATAGAGTGGAACCACTAGTCCAGCCTAGGACATAGAGTGGAATCCCTAGTCCAGCCTAGGACATAGAGTTGAACTACTAGTCCAGCCTAGGACAAAGAGTGGAACCACTAGCCCAGCCTAGGACATAGAGTTGAACTACTAGTCCAGCCTAGGACAAAGAGTGGAACCACTAGCCCAGCCTAGGACATAGAGTTGAACTACTAGTCCAGCCTAGGACATAGAGTGGAACCTCTAGTCCAGCCTAGGACATAGAGTGGAACCTCTAGTCCAGCCTAGGACATAGAGTGGAACAACTAGTCCAGCCTAGGACATAGAGTGGAACCTCTAGTCCAGCCTAGGACATAGAGTGGAACCTCTAGTCCAGCCTAGGACATAGAGTGGAACGACTAGTCAAGCCTAGGACATAGAGTGGAACCCCTAGTCTAGCCTAGGACATAGAGTGGAACCACTAGGCCAGCCAAGGACATAGAGTGGAACCACTAGTCCAGCTTAGGACATAGAGTGGAACCACTAGCCCAGCCTAGGACATAGAGTGGAACCACTAGTCAATCCTAGGACATAGAGTGGAACCACTAGTCCGGCCTAGGACATAGAGTGGAACAACTAGTCCAGCCTAGGACATAGAGTGGAACGACTAGTCAAGCCTAGGACATAGAGTGGAACCCCTAGTCCAGCCTAGGACATAGAGTGGAACCTCTAGTCCAGCCTAGGACATAGAGTGGAACGACTAGTCAAGCCTAGGACATAGAGTGGAACCCCTAGTCCAGCCTAGGACATAGAGTGGAACGACTAGTCAAGCCTAGGACATAGAGTGGAACCACTAGCCCAGCCTAGGACATAGAGTTGAACTACTAGTCCAGCCTAGGACAAAGAGTGGAACCACTAGCCCAGCCTAGGACATAGAGTTGAACTACTAGTCCAGCCTAGGACATAGAGTGGAACCTCTAGTCCAGCCTAGGACATAGAGTGGAACCTCTAGTCCAGCCTAGGACATAGAGTGGAACCACGAGTCCAGCCTAGGACATAGAGTGGAACCACGAGTCCAGCCTAGGACATAGAGTGGAACCACGAGTCCAGCCTAGGACATAGAGTGGAACCACGAGTCCAGCCTAGGACATAGAGTTGAACCACTAGGCCAGCCTAGGACATCGAGTTGAACCACTAGTCCAGCCTAGGACATAGAGGGGAACCACTAGTCCAGCCTAGGACATAGATTTGAACCACTAGTCCAGCCTAGGACATAGAGGGGAACCACTAGTCAAGCCTAGGACATAGAGTGGAACCCCTAGTCCAGCCTAGGACATAGAGTTCAACCACTAGTCCAGCCTAGGACATAGAGTGTAACCACTAGTCAAGCCTAGGACATAGAGTGGAACCCCTAGTCCAGCCTAGGACATAGAGTGGAACCTCTAGTCCAGCCTAGGACATAGAGTGGAACAACTAGTCCAGCCTAGGTAACATAATCTATGGAAATGCCATAAATCTTCATAATCTTACTGTAAGAAACAGGAAAATATCCTATATAACAAATAATCTAGTGTGCAAGAAATACTGTTATAATTATTATCGTAACATGGTATTGTTTCATTGACAGACAAGTCAAAAGCGAGCTGCGGAAACAACAGATCTAACCAAAAGTTTTGGTTGGGATAGCAGTGAAGGCAAGAAAATATTACATCTGAATTTACATCAAATATGATATCCTTCAGCAATAAAAACAAAAATTAGCGGTAGAGAATATGTGGAGTTTGGCATAATCAATAGTGAATCTCAGCAAAATAAGGATTCTGCTTTTCACATATAATGGTGAGGTTCTCTACCCAAAAGTCCTGTGGTTTAAAAAGGAAAAATAAAAGGAAAAAAAATTGCAAATTATGTATTAAATGCTGTAATTTAGAAATTTAAGGAGGCAATTCATGTTTTAATTTGCACTTTAATACCTGAACATGTGTTGTCCAGGTAGACTTATAACTAGTATCATGATTAAAAAATATTTGTGCTTACAGTTTGGCAACAACACGATGTACAGGAGCTTTGTAGAGTGATGTTTGATGCATTAGAACTGAAGTGGAGAAATACAAAACAAGCCAACCTTATCAACCACCTTTATCAGGGAAAGATGAAAGATTACGTCAAATGTCTGGAGGTATTACCGCCATTTCTATTATTCAGTATATTCAATAGCAGACTTTTTATTTATGTGAATCTATTACACTGATTTTGTAATTGTACCAATATTCAGTAGATGAAAAAAACCCATGAAATAGCAAACTTTATTTATGTGAATCTATTGGACTTTTTAAGCCGCTCTTGGCGAGAGCCGAGCAGCTTATTAATTCTGTCCAGAGAACAAAATGACGGACCCACTTCCTTTCGGGGTGCGTGCGCATAATTTAGTCTTGCATGCTTCCACTATATAGCTTTGTTATCGTAAATAGAAAGTAGAATCTCTGACACTCACCTGTGGGTTACATAAAGTATTCTGATACTCTTCTCCAAATAATAATCCATACTTTAAATAATTGCTGAAAACAAAATATTTATCTCTGGTGCATTCTATGAGTGTTGTGGTGGTGAAATTCGTGCACTGGGTTTGAGCGTTTTAGCAACTCGGATGATTTGTTTATACACAACAAAACAAAGAATTAAAGTTCAAAAATTTATTTAGTCTAAATTTAAAGTAACTTGTTCAGGTTATATTAGTTATCTTTTGGCATTCTTAGGGGCTGCTCTCTGTTACTTAAACTAACTACAACATAGTTGGTTACAAACATATCTATTTACAGCAAAGGAAATTAAAAACAACACACTTAACTTAAAAGAAGAGTGGGGCGATCCCCGGCTTGAGCGATCTCAAGCTGGTGACTAGAATAAGTTGTGGGGTGATCCCCAGGGCTTGAGCGATCCCAAGCTGTGGAGCGAGTAGCTAACAGGCGGCCCTGCAAACAGGCATCGAGCGACCCCGGTGCCTGAGTGTTCAAAGTATAAGTAAGAACATGGTTTACAGGGCGATCCCCAACAGGCACTTACACAGTTATACTCTGACTAGCTAAGCACGCCCTAAGTCACCTACCCTAAAACTATGTTAGATTATCAAAAAGCAAACCAGGATTAAGAAATGTACGTGACTTAAAGGGGGTGCTCCCCGGCAGGCACACAAACTGGTTATGATTGCAAAAATAAAAATACAACAACAAGCATATAATGAATTGGGGGGATAATTCCCGAATTACATGTCCAAATCGAACGAAGGTTGCAGATACAAATGTAAATGTGAAGTAACAGAGCGAGAGCCCCCAAGAAACTGTCAAGCATTGATGCTGTCTGTAAAAGGAAGAAGTAAATATATATACTTATAAACGGTATGAGTGATGAAGTTTAACCTCTATTTTGATGTTTCAAACGGGAACGTAATATGACATATCTTGCTTAGGTTGATAACGGTAATGGCTCTGAGACGATATGTGAACTGTGTATGCTTGTCAAACATTTCTGTAACACAGCATGCTATTTCTGGTGTATTTATTAATGAAAATGTAACAATTTAAGAACATGACGCAACTGCTGCTGCCGTTTGACAAGAATTCGCGCCGTGTCAAAATAGTATCCAATCCGGTGTAAGGGAAATAACTACGTTGGTAAAGTCGCATTGAGAAATATAATTCAAATATATTCCAAGAACATTTGTGAGATTTTGTATATTCAATGACAGTCAATAAAGTCACTTAATATATTAATATTATTTTTAATATGAATAAAAAAGAAATAAAAATAAATAAAAATAAAAGGAGTACATTGTCCCTTTCTCCATGCATGTTTTCCCACTACTGTTAATTATCCTTAGTTTCACAATCACAAAATGCACCTATTCTTAATTATCCATTCACCGATTGCCATTCTGCATGTAAATGCTCATGTCACATCATTGGAGAATGCTAATTAATGAAAATAACAACAATGCATCACACTTAAAGATAGTCCGAATTATTCTGACGTGTTATCAACTTTTTTCATATCAGTCTGTCGTCGATTAACGTCAGAACTCCAGCTCTCTTTAATCGACGACAGACCGATATGAAAAAAGTCGATAAAACGTCAGAATAATTCAGACTAACTTAAAGAGAGTGAAAAAAGAGGAGAGGGAGAAATGTTTTTAAGGCATCATTTAATAGGTGATTTATTTTGGAAATACCAAAGGCAACATCATCACATGACCTGATTTTCAATTAGCAGAATACAGAACACATATCTGAGGTATTATAGTAGATATTGATGCTCAACGTGTTACTGAAGCAATTCAATTTAAAGTTGTGAGCGGCTTTAATGTCACACTGACATAATTCTAGTTTTTGTTATTGAACCAGGTAAGCTCTTACTATGTCTGGGGCAGAGTTGAATAACATAAACTTTGACATTACAATTCATAAACTAACATAAGTTGGCCATGTTACTAGATAAATTTGTGTAGCCAGATTGTGACCATTGCTTGTTTCAGTGTGGTAATGAGAGTGCCCGTGTGGACTCCTACCTGGATATTCCCCTTGTCATACGGCCGTTTGGTGCAACCACAGCCTATGGTAGTGTTGTAAGTATACAAAATTAGAGGTGATTGTTGACACCCGTAACATCTTTCAAAATCTGTTTTCTGTTCCTCGGACAAAACAATTGAATGATACCATTGATGCTTCTTGCTGAAATAATTTTGTGTTTCAGAATGGCTCTTTATTTTAAATCTATCTCGGAACATTTTCATTTAAGCAAACTTAAGAGAGCTGTTCTCAGATGACAAGATCTAATTATATAGAACAAAGCCACGTTGTCTAACCAAATACTGAAAGTTGACTGTCAGGTACCCAATACTATCCAATTTTTTCAAACATTTGCAAGATAAAATGTTGCATGAGAACATGTTTATTTTGGGAGTTTTATGCTATATTTGAACATTTACCTGTTTACAGGAAGAGGCATTGAACGCGTTTGTCCAGCCTGAAACACTAGATGGAAGTAACCAGTACTTTTGTGAAAAGTGTAACAAAAAATGTGATGCTCATAAGGTGGGTTACACCGTGTAGTAAATACAGGTGCATGTCTTTATCAAACAAATTGATCATAAATTTGTTGTTTGACAGAAACCTTACCAACTTTTCCGTGCTTATAAAATTAAATATATATTTTTAGAAAAAGTGCCTTCAGTCTGATATGTTGAAATAAAGATGTCTAAAAGAGAAACTGAATGATATTAAATTGGTACATCAGATTTGTGTTTTATAACTCGATCTATTTCTTCAACAGGGCCTCAAATTCCAGTCCTTTCCATACCTCCTAACACTGCAGTTAAAGCGTTTCGACTTTGACTACTCAACAATGCACAGGATCAAACTGAATGATAGGTACTGGTAAAATAATTATCTCTTGTCTGTGCAAATAATAAAGTTTATTTTGACACAGCAGTAAAAGTTATCTTTATTTGTGACAAAATAAGACCAAAATCTAGTGAGTATTGATATGATCAGAGCACCTGAACAAAAACAATTTAAGTGAAAGCTATTTATGCTGGGATATGGGGAATTTATAAAAGTGTTATCCTCTCCAATATCTTGGACACAGGTTTAAAAAAAATGTGTTAAAGTCATATTTTCACAGTTTCTTCTTCTGATTATAGAATGACTTTCCAGGAGGTGTTAAATTTGAACCACATGGTAGACCACAAAAATAAAGATGAAGAGGACATGATGTCGTCAACTGTTGGAGGAAAGGTATCAGATGGACCTCTGGAGGACAGCAGTGACGAAGGTTGGTATGCACAGTTGCAAGTAATTTCTAAAAATGGCACCTTGAAAATGGGTTGAAGAATGAAAAATCCAAGTATCTCAAATATTTTGACAAGAGATGTCTGCAAAATAAAAATATATAAAAGTAGAATTGGTAATTGAGCAATCCAAATAACAGTGTTGTAACACACGTCTGATGTGAAACAGTAGTACAAATAGGGTGGTAGTTTACATCCTACACATATCATAGTGTTGTTACTTTCATTGAGATTGACGTATTATTCTAAGTGATCTCAAATGACTATATGTCCGATAACTCTCGTGATACATATTTGAAATAAACCTATTCTGGATAAATGCCAAGTAATATAGATGAGGTTGTTATATCATGGTAAACCTCTGCCAATTAGGCATTGATGTAGGAGCTGAGAGTGAGTTGGGGGCCTCAGCGATCCAGTCACCCTCTGATGACCAACAAAGTCTTTCAAGTGAAGCTGCTGCCAACACTAAAAACGCCAAGGAGTCTGAGTGCACGGTAAATTAACAGATAGCTAGTTTTTTTTTATCATTTATAAGATACCTCTTATAATGGTGTTGGTATATTGATTCAAAGAAATAAGTTCAAACAGTGCATTGGCTATAACATATCTGTCAGTGATGAAATACAGTCATATTGTTTTTTATAATCCTATTATATCAAATTATACTGAATGTTCCCACCAAGTGTTGTATAAATGACTTAGTGTAAGGAGATTAGTTTTTGTGCCAGTACAGTCAGTATATATATATATACAATGTTCTTTAAACCTATAACTTGTATGTAACATGTTTTTAAGGCTAGTGTGTTGTATGTGTATCTGACTGATGTGATGGGGATATGTATGTAGGGGCTGTATGTGTACGAGATGTTCTGTAACATGTATTTAAGGTTAGTGTGTTGTATCTGTATCTGACTGATGTGATGGGGTTATGTATGTAGGTGCTGTTCATGTATGAGACGTTCTGTAAAATGTATTTAAGGCTAGTGTGTTGTATGTGCATGAGATGTTCTCTAACATGTATTTTAGGCTAGTTTGTTGTATGTGTATGAGATGTTCTCTAACATGTATTTAAGGCTAGTGTGCTGTATGTGTGCCTGACTGGTGTGATGGGGATATGTAGGTAGGGGCTGTATGTGTATGAGACGATCTGTAACTTGTATTCAGGGCTAGTGTGTTGTATGTGTATCTCATGTATTTAAGGCTAGTGTGCTGTATGTGTGCCTGACTGGTGTGAGGGGGATATGTATGTAGGGGCTGTATGTGTACGAGATGTTCTGTAACATGTATTTAAGGTTAGTGTGTTGTATCTGTATCTGGCTGATGGGATGGGGCTATGTTTGTAGGTGCTGTATATATATATATACAATGTTCTTTAAACCTAGAACTTTTATTTAACATGTTTTTAAGGCTAGTGTGTTGTATGTGTATGAGAGCTAGTGTGTCGTATGTGTATCTGACTGATGTGATGGTGTTATGTATGTAGGGGCTGTATGTGTACGGGATGTTCTGTAACATGTATTTAAGGTTAGTGTGTTGTATCTGTATCTGGCTGATGGGATGGGGCTATGTTTGTAGGTGCTGTATATATATATATACAATGTTCTTTAAACCTATAACTTGTATGTAACGTGTTTTTAAGGCTCGAGTGTTGTATGTGTATCTGACTGACGTGATGGGGCTATGTATGTAGGTGTTGTATGTGTATGAGATGTTCTCTAACATTTATTTAAGGCTAGTGTGTTGTATGGGTATCTGACTGGTGTTATGGGGCTATGTATGTAGGTGCTGTACATGTATGAGATGTTCTGTAACATGTATTTAAGGTTAGTGTGTTGTATCTGTATCTGGCTGATGGGATGGGGCTATGTTTGTAGGTGCTGTATATATATATATACAATGTTCTTTAAACCTATAACTTGTATGTAACGTGTTTTTAAGGCTCGAGTGTTGTATGTGTATCTGACTGAAGTGATGGGGCTATGTATGTAGGGGCTGTATGTGTACGGGATGTTCTGTAACATGTATTTAAGGTTAGTGTGTTGTATCTGTATCTGACTGACGTGATGGGGCTATGTATGTAGGTGCTGTACATGTATGAGATGTTCTGTAACATGTATTTAAGGTTAGTGTGTTGTATCTGTATCTGTCTGATGTGATGGGGCTATGTATGTAGGTGCTGTACATGTATGAGACGTTCTGTAACATGTATTTAAGGCTAGTGTGTTGTATGTGTGCCTGACTGGTGTGATGGGGATATGTATGTAGGGGCTGTATGTGTATGAGACGATCTGTAACTTGTATTTAGGGCTAGTGTGTTGTATGTGTATGAGATGTTCTGTAACATGTATTTAAGGCTAGTGTGTTGTATGTGTATCTGACTGATGTGATGGGGCTATGTATGAAGGTTCTGTATGTGTATGAGATGTTCTGTAACATGTATTTAAGGTTAGTGTGTTGTATGTGTATCTGACTGACGTGATGGGGCTATGTATGTAGGTTCTGTATGTGTATGAGATGTTCTGTAACATGGATTTAAGGTTAGTGTGTTGTATGTGTAGATGTTCTGTAACATGTATTTAAGGGTAGTGTGTTGTATGTGTATCTGACTGACGTGATGTGGCTATGTATGTAGGTGCTGTACATGTATGAGATGTTCTGTAACATGTATTTCAGGCTAGTGTGTTGTATGTGTATGAGATGTTTTGTAACATCTATTTAAGGCTAGTGTGTTGTATGTTTATCTGACTGATGTGATGGGGCTATGTTTGTAGGGGCGGTATGTGTATGAGATGTTCTGTAACATGTATTTAAGGGTAGTGTGTTGTATGTGTATGAGATGTTTTGTAACATCTATTTAAGGCTAGTGTGTTGTATGTTTATCTGACTGATGTGATGGGGCTATGTATGAAGGTTCTGTATGTGTATGAGATGTACTGTAACATGTATTTAAGGTTAGCGTGTTGTATGTGTATCTGACTGACGTGATGGGGATATGTATGTAGGTGTGTTGTATGTGTATCTGACTGACTTGATGGGGCTATGTATGTAGGTGCTGTACATGTATGAGACATTCTGTAACATGTGTTGTATGTGTATCTGTCTGATGTGATGGGGCTATGTATGTAGGGGCTGTATGTGTACGAGATGTTCTGTAACATGTATTTAAGGTTAGTGTGTTGTATGTGTATCTGACTGACGTGATGGGGATATGTATGTAGGTTCTGTATGTGTATGAGATGTTCTGTAACATGTATTTAAGGCTAGTGTGTTGTATGTGTATCTGACTGATGTGATGGGGCTATGTATGTAGGTGCTGTATGTGTACGAGATGTTCTGTAACATGTATTTAAGGCTAGTGTGTTGTATGTGTATCTGACTGATGTGATGGGGCTATGTATGTAGGGGCTGTATGTGTACGAGATGTTCTGTAACATGTATTTAAGATTAGTGTGTTGTATGTGTATCTGACTGACGTGATGGGGATATGTATGTAGGTTCTGTATGTGTGTAACATGTATTTAAGGCTAGTGTGTTGTATGTGTATCTGACTGACGTGATGGGGATATGTATGTAGGTTCTGTATGTGTATGAGATGTTCTGTAAAATGTATTTAAGGCTAGTGTGTTGTATGAGTATCTGACTGACGTGATGGGGTTATGTATGTAGGTGCTGTTCATGTATGAGACGTTCTGTAACATGTATTTAAGGCTAGTGTATTGTATGATTAACCTGACTGGTGTGATTGGGTTATGTTTGTAGGGGCCGTACGTGTATGAGCTATTTTCCATCATGATCCACTCAGGCAGTGCAGCAGGTGGACACTACTATGCCTACATTAAGTCGTTTGTGGATGGGCAGTGGTACAGCTTTAACGACCAGCATGTCTCCAAGGTTAGTTTCATAACCAGTCCCTTATCCTTAAATATTTTTCTTTCATTTAAGTGGTAATTTCCTCAAGTTTTCTCAATTTCATCATTCAAATGTTTGGCTTTGTTTAGAAAAAAAAAGATAATTTGGAAATTGCAGGAAAATTTCTGTTATGTGCAGCATTCTGAAATAATCCTGTGTTATGCTTACAGATTGGATATGACGAGATTACAAAGATATATGGAGGTGCCTCTGTGTCAAGAGGTTACTACTCGGCCACATATAGCAGGTAATACTAACTCTCTATGTGATCAAGTTGACTAAGGATAAGGTATAACGTTTAAACATGCCGACAAAAACTTGACTTGTTTTGGCAAAAGCATTTGTGGCATAGAAAGGTTTTTCAAGGCATAACAATATGTTGGATATCACTGGAAACAAAATTTTATAGCGCAAGATAAAATATCAAAACAAATGTAAAACTATCATTGTGTTTATCTAATACAATGTTTTCCCTTTCAGTTCTACGAATGCCTACATGCTGATGTATCGTCAAATTGATAAACAGAGAAATGCTGGTAAGAAAAGAAATTTTGTTTTGAATGAAAAACATGACATATTTCTTTATATATTCTTCAAGTGAAAATACTGAATTTTCTTTACTGGACTGATGACTTGTTAAATATAAATGTTGTGTTTTTCAGATTTTATACAACCAGATAACTTCCCAGAGCATATTAGCCAACAACTTCAGCGACTCAAGGATAAAGATGAGGCAGAACAACGCCAAAAAGAACTTGACAAGTCTACCTGCAAGGTAAGGTACACACAGTCATCAGTGTTTTTTCTGAAAAAGCACTGTTTGGCAGTAATGAAACTTGATGTACTGGTACAAAAGAAAATGACTTCTTGAGCTTAAGGCTGTTCACTGCGCATTATAATATCCTTTTATAATAATTGCAGTGATATTTTTCATCTAAAGGAGTTCCTTGATGATTTATTTGAATTTTTTACTGTTTTGCATTTTATTAATTCGGTATGTCTTTCGGAAATTCAACGAGTCATTAAAGAGACCTTCAAGCAGTTTAAGAATCAAGTAGATCCGTAAAAGTAGTTTAAATCTATGTTTAATGGCAGAAAAATAAAATTGACCAATTGGTATTGTTTCTTTAATCTACTTTTATTTGTTTTCACAGATAAAAACATTCTGCTACCATCCAGTATTGAAGAAGAAACAAGAACAGCGACTAGAAGTTCACAAAGACAAGACATTGGCTGAAGCTATGGAGATGGTGTACAAAGTAGGTGTATTTATGTGTCTTGCAATTTCTTACCTTCACTATTGTGTACATTTTGTATTTATGTAAAACTCCAATGTACACAATGTGTAACAGTTAATGATAATTAGACTTGTCTTTAGGCAGAGATCTCAGATGTGTAACAGTTAATGATAATTAGACTTGTCTTTAGGCAGAGATCTCAGATGTGTAACAGTTAATGATAATTAGACTTGTCTATAGGCAGAGATCTCGGATGTGTAACAGTTAATGATAATTAGACTTGTCTTTAGGCAGAGATCTCGGATGAAATAAGTGGGAATTAATTAGAATATGTATAAAAAGTGATCATCGTTCAAAAATTAATTTGCATATGAACTAAAACAAAATTGTTCACTTGATTTGTAAAAGCTTAGTTTTACCACTTTGACAGGTAGGCACTCATAAATATAGACAGTAATGCATTTAAATTCTAACTTTTTCTCCCAGCTATTTGACTTACGGAGTGCTCTGCCCCTTGACTGTTGTCGCCTGGTGAAGTACGATGAATACCAAGATACACTTGAGCGCTCGTTTGAAGGAGAGGAGGATGTTCCAATTGGCCAACTTTTGGGAGGTGTCAAACAGACATACAACTTTGACCTTCTCCTGGAGACTAAGAGACCAGAACAGCAGTTTCACGAGTACAAACCTGGTGGTAAGCTGTTCTAACGCAGATCGGCTAATTCTGCAAAATAGGATATTACAAGATATTTGTGAATATAGTTATACATCGATGTTAATATTTCAGTATATAGAGATTTGTTCAATGAGGAAAACATATTTGTTTTAATAAATTCATTTTTTTTGAAATTCCAATTTCTAAATGCCCAACTAAAACATGTAAAATGATTGTTTAATGAGGAAGTTAACTGTATTGCCATTTATTGCTAGATCAATCAGGTACTTCCTCGTTAATTGAAAAGATCTGTATAAAATAGAATGTTGAGGTATATATCATGGAATTACATTACACATGTATGTATTACTGGCAGGGGTCACAGTGAAGGTGTTTGTGGTGGACATGGATTTGGAGACTATACAGGAGCCCATCAGTGTCCGGGCCTACAATCCACAGTCTGTAGCTGAATTTAAGGAAATTGTTTCTGAGGTAAGATTTATAACCTGATTGCCTAGAATGTGTAAAAGTCTCTGAAAATTTCAAATATCAATAATAATATTGTTTACTGCATTATTTTGATTATGTTTTATGCGTATGCGTTCTTAACAATTTAAATGAATTTGTTCTTCAGATGTAATATTTTAATACAGTCGAATTTCAATATCTTGAACTCTTATCACTCGAAGAACCCGTTTATCTCAAAGAATTTATCCGGTCCCGGCCGAATCTCTTCTTTATCTTAGTAAATAAAACTCTGATCATTCGAACCCTGAAAACTCGAAAAAAACTCGGATACCTCGAAGTAAATATTGGTTTCATCAGCGTAAATCCAATTTCAAAACATCATCTAATTATTAAATTTCATTTTGTCACTTATTTATTATTTGATACAAATAAAACGCAATACTATGGCATTTCGCCATTCCGTGTTTATAAACATCTTTCGTGAGTAGTCTTGCATGAAATCGATAAAAATAATTTACGATAAAGCTTAAGACTGTGAAGTGTGCTGAATGTCAAAACCATGTTGTTCATAATCAAAATCAAACTTCATCAATGTTGATCAACAGTATTCTGTACTTACTGTGAGTTCGTTTAATGATTTGTACATCCAAACCAGAAAATTGGTCACGCACAAAAGAGTTCCACAGTTAAAATCGAAACCTAGGACAGCTTTACAGGTTTTTAAGAACAATACGATAATTGCTGTTGATTACATCGAGTTAAGCTTTAGTTTTGGCTTTAATGAATCAATGTGTTACATGTATGATAGAATCTGTTTGTGCATGTTTTCATTTAAAGAGTCAACTATGCATACGCTCCATTACAGTGATTTGTTTTAGACTTGCGCATTTTCATTCCGCATTGTATAGTACGAGGTCAGGGACAGCGTGTTAGTTCGATTTGAAATGTAACACGTCAGAGGTAAAACTTGACAGACTTGCAAATACAAATGCAGACCTAGAAAGACTTTGCCATGACTAGCCAAAAACAACATTTAATCACATGGTCCAACGGTTTTGATCGCGTTAAACAAAAGTACATTTTTCAGACATACCTTACTCTATTTTTGTTAGGGTGTTTATTGTAAAATAACATACCCTTATTTGTCCTATTGATTATGTATATAATTCATCAATTGATTATAAGCATTAGCTATTAATACAAATCAACAACTGCTAGTGCTTTGTGCAAACAGCAAATTTCATACCAAATTTATGAACCCGTATAACTTGAACACTCTGATAACTCTAAGTTTTTCCACGACCCGGTCGACTTCGAGTTAACGAGGTTCAACTGTCCTGCCAATGTTAACAAAAATTGATGCAGATGTAGGGCAGATTCGAAATTAAAGATGTTTACCTTGGCCTTTGATTTGTTGAATATTTTCTGCTTCTCAATTTTCCTCAAACCAATATTGACAACATTTTGTTAAAGTGTTCCTTTCATGGTCCTGACCAAGTGTTGTATATTTTATCAATTCACATTCAACTATGAGCAATAAATACCTGATTGTCGGCACAAACTTATACACCTTTGTTTTACTGAAGGTGCTGGACGTACCCGTCACAAATATGAGGTGTGTTTTGGAGCGGTTCCACAATGATCTCAGATACCTATGGATGCCACACAAAACCCTGAAGGCCGAAGGCTTCTTCAAGAGTAATAAGGTATGTAGGCTATAAGCAACAAGCTAGGGTGCTTCTGAAGTGTCAAAGGTAACACCTGAACTGTTTTTCAGAAATTTTGAAGGAGAAAATATATTTTTGTCTCTTGTGGCATCTAATATGTAAATGCTTCAGAGAAGCATTGTCTTTTCAATAACTATAAAGGATTCTATCAAATTCTTTAAAATGTGGCTTCAAATACAAATTTCCGAGAAGAGGAATAGGTATAGTTGTGTTAATGAAAAAATAAATAAAAAAAGGAAATGTTGAAATTGATTCTTTGAATGCATGTCGTTGTCTTTATACCTCAGGTTTACATTGAGTACTCGGGATCAGAAGACCCAAGTACAGAACATTTTGTCAACAGTCGTTTCTACAATCTGTTGGATCGCCATCAGAACACCATCAGGATACATGTCAGCTTGCCATCCGTCTGTAAGTCTCCTTGTAAAGCAGTTCCTTGAGTTCATAATTCACTGTATGAAATTAAGAATTCAAGTTTCCATATAACCTTTATTTTGGTGGCCGTAAAATCTCTCAGAGCTTTTGACATCATTTGTATAATGTGAGGCAGGTATGTGCAAGGTCGAACCTGTAAATAGTCTTAATATAATCATGTAGATAGTGTTTTTCTCTGGGAATCCCTTGTTGCATAATGGCTGGTCTGTGCCTTATTTGCTACTCCATTGAAAAAATTCTAAGTATACTTGTTTCTTGAATAAGGTCCATTTAATTCTTTGTAAACATGTTTATTCTTAATTTTTTTTAAGCTGATGTACATGAGTTCATAAAGATCAGCCGAAGGCATTCTCACCTTATGGAGAGAGCTATAAGTGGGGGGTCTGCCACCAAAAGTCTGGAGAACCTGGCAGGAGACGTGGTAAAATCTAAATACACGGGAGGCCACGATCCCTTGGAAATTGACGAAGGCATCAGTGACCGTGGTAGTGATAGTGAAGTAGACTTCAGGGTGAAATCCCTTACCTTAAAACAGTCAAAAAGTGATCCCTCCATCTACCACAACTGTTGTCAAGTAGATCAGCAGTATGTACCACCAGGTCCAATCTCTGGTCAAGTTCGGACACTAAGTCTAACAGAGCCAGGGTCAGAAGCTCGGGCGTGCAGTCCCATAATGGGGCAGAGTATAGAAACAGGGCCAAGCACAAGGCTAAGCCCCACAGTGTCTGAGGGTCGGACTAGTAGCCCGGTCAACGGGCAGAGTATAGAAACAGGGCCAAGCACAAGGCTAAGCCCCACAATGTCTGAGGGTCGGACTAGTAGCCCGGTCAACGGGCAGAGCAACAGTAGTCAGGACACCAGTACTAGTGCAGAGTTCAGTCTCAACACAAACTTTAGTTCAGTGGCGGAGTTTGACTGTGGGCGTGAAGCCGTGGAGCACAGTAACAGTGACTCGGAACAGGTGGAGCCTCCGTCACCAGGTGAACGCACCATCAGTGATATAGACTTCAAAAAAGAACATGGTGATGATGTGTGTGGTGCCACAGAGAACTGGGATTCGGAAACATTGGATGTTAACCAGTCTGACGAAACACCAGATGTGATGGTTGTCCATGAGGAAAACATCAGGCGATACTTCTGTGTTGTCAGTCAGGAGGAGGACATACTAACAAAACAAAGGCGTAAGTTTCTACACATTGATAATTGCAAATAAAGGAGGTCAGATTAATTTCTGTTTCTCTTCCCTCTCTATATGTTTGCCAACTGTAAATTTGACTCATTTCGTCTTTGTCTGTATTTGATGGTTTTTTTTCGTTTCTTGGTCTTTTAGATTGCAAATGAAATGTTTGAGCAGTTGTATGCAGTTTATTTTCTTTGCTTTGTAAAATTGGCAATGAAGATATTTTTAAAATGAAATACGTAATTTTTCAACAATCAATAGCAAATTCATATTTTTTCTCTAACTAGCTTATGACTTTTTAACTTTTTTTTAACCTTTGTCATTTAATAAACATTGTATATTTTTATCTGCATATTTCAGATCTGACAGTGCGAGTGGATAAGAGAATAACATTAGGAGCATTTAAAAAAGAGCTAGAACCATACGTCCAAACAACAGTAGACAATTTCAAGGTAATCACCAAGAATTTCTTCTCTCTGATTTTATTACAGAAACTCAAAATTTGTGTATGAAATTGAAAGATTTTCGTCTGAAAATTCTAAAAACAAAATGAATACATAGTAGATTAAAATGTCATAGAAAAAAAAGAGAGCTTTAGTTATTTTAATAGAAACAGTAGGTGATTTCTTTAAAAAAAAAACACGAAGTACAAATATACAGATATGTTTTTAGCTCACCTGGCCCGAAGGGCCAAGTGAGCTTATCCCATGGTGCAGCGTCCGGCGTCCGGCGTCCGGCGTCCGGCAACTTTTTCCTTTAAAATGCTACTTGTCCTGAATGGCTCAGAGGATTTTGACCAAATTTGGTCAGGAGCATCATTGGCCAAAGGGTTCTCAGTTTTGTATAAACGGAGGGTATAACCCCCCTGGGGGCAGAGGGGCGGGGCCAAATAGGGGGAAAATAGGTAAATCTTTAAAAATCTTCTTCTTCTCAACCAATAGAAGGATTTTGACCAAATTTGTCCTAGAGCATCTTTGGACAAAGGAGACTCAAGTTTGTATAAACGGAGGGTGTGGCCTCTTTGGGGGCAGAGGGGCGGGGCCAAATAGGGGAAGTAGAGGATTTTTTCTCTCCTACTATACAAGTGAAGGGATTTAAACCAAATGCAGTCTGAAGCTTGGTCAGGAGCATCATTGGCCAAAGGGTTCTCAGTTTTGTATAAACGGACGGTATAGCCCCCCCTCGGGGCAGAGGGGCGGGGCTAAATAAGGGGAAAAAAGGTAAATCTTTAAAAATGTTCTTCTTCTCAACCAATTGAAGGATTTTGACCAAATTTGTCCTAGAGCATCTTTGGACAAAGAAGACTCAAGTTTGTATAAACGGAGGGTGTGGCCCCTCTGGGGGCGGAGGGGCGGGGCCCAATAGGGGAAATAGAGGATTTTTTTTCTCCTGCTATACAAGTGAAGGGATTTTAACCAAATGCAGTCTGAAGCATGATTAGGGACAAAAGAATCAATTTTGTATAAACTGAGGTGTGTGGGCCTCCTTCTAAGGGCAGATGGGTGGGGCCCATTAGGGGAAATAGAGGAAAACATCAAATATCCTTCTCCTTTTGTACCGATGAAGGGATTTTGACCAAATTTGGTCTGGAGCATCATTGGCCAAAGGGTTCTCAGTTTTGTATGAACGGAGGGTATGGTCCCCCTGGGGGCAGAGGGACGGGGCCAAATAGGGGAAAATAGGTAAATCTTTAAAAATCTTCTCCTCAACCAATTGAAGGATTTTGACCAAATTTGTCCTAGAGCATCTTTGGACAAAGGAGACTCAAGTTTGTATAAACGGAGGGTGTGGGCCTTCTGGCGGCATAGGAGCGGGGCCCAATAGGGGAAATAGAGGATTTTTTTTCTCCTACTATACAAGTGAAGGGATTTAAACCAAATGCAGTCTGAAGCATGCTTAGGGAGAAAAGAATCAATTTTGTTTAAACTGAGGTGTGTGGATTCCCCTTCTTTGGGGCAGATTAGTGGGGCCCATTAGGGGAAATAGAGGAAAACATTAAAGATCCTTCTCCTTCTGTACCGTTGAAGGGATTTTAACCTAACCAAACTTGTTTTAGAGAATCTTTGGGCAAAGGGAATTGAATATTTATAAATGGAAGATGCAACTTTGTTACTTGTACTCCTTTGATAAACCTGAATGGTACTCAGCAGGTTTTAAATTGAAAAATAAAATACCAGGTGAGCTATTAAGGCCCCGGGCCTCTTGTTTATTATACAAATTACATGTATCCATATAAAATTAACATTGAAATAAATGGTGGCATACTTTTGTTTTAACATTTCAGGTGTACAGGGTATACTCTAATAATCAAGAGTTTGAAAGTATTCGACTATCAGAAACAATGAGTTTCTTTGAAGATGGAAAGGTAAGGTCCAAACAGAAGTGGTATTTATAGCTGTTGTCTGTGTTTTGTTTCATTGCTATTGTTTTACCATGTCGTCGGTAATTGACCCAGTCCATTTCCTTTACGTGTACATGTGTAGCTGATGAGAGTATTCAAATGAGGTTATAAAGAATATAATAATTATATTTCTCATTCCAGCTAAATATCAAACTAGGACGGGCTCTGAAGCCAGGAGAATACAGAGTGAAGGTGTATCAGCTACAGATCAATGAAGCCGAGGTAGGTTTGACATTTGATAGCTGTTTCAGAGCAATTTCCTTATATTAACCTTAAAAGATTCTTGTAGAGAATATACATGGGTGGTTATAAAACCATCATTTGATCGTAAAAAATATCAGAAGTAGTGCATTAATTGTTAGTCTATTGATTTGCAAGGATATGTGTAAAAGGATGACTGTACAAGGATATGTGTAAAAGGATTACTGTACCAGGATATGTGTATAAGGATGACTGTACAAGGATATGTGTAAAAGGATTACTGTGAATAAACAGCCTTCTGTGATTGATCAGTATCCTTTGTGTGTAAATAAGAGTTAGAGGTTTACTTAAGTGTAACAATAGTAACGAGAACTCTACTATATTGATTGTTTGTAATGAACATTTCTTTTACAGCCCAGTAAATTCTTGATAGACACAATATTTGCCAAAGGAATGTCAGTGCTGGAATCCAAGAAGTTGATAATCCCTGAGATTAAAGAACAGTGCAATATTGACCTCCCACTGGACAGGTAAATTTTAGTTGCTGTTGGTTTAAACCTGGAGGTCTTGATGAAATGACAAACTGCATACATAAAGTGTAAATTTGTGTACCAGGTATACCTTAATCTAGACTATCTTGTGTTTTCTTCAAAGGAATTCCATATAGCAGAAAGTAAACATTGGAGGGACTCCAATATACACATAACAAATTCTGAACAGCAATTTTCCTTTTCCACCGGAGCAACATATTCGTCTGCCTACAATCCCCTGACCTTCCCCACCTGGAGAACACATTCTCCCCCCTCCCTACACTACCCAGACCATTCCCTACCTTAACAAAATATTTATCCTCCTTTACTCTCCTGATGTTCCCTACCTGGAGAACACATTCTTCACCTTCACTTCCCAAGATGTTCCCCACCTGGACAATATGTTCATCCACCTACACTCCCCCTGAACTTCCCTACACGGAGATCACATTCATCACTTTCACTTTCCCTAACATTCCCCACCTGGACAATATGTTCATCCCTTACGGTCACCCTGACTGCACATCTCTTTTGTTGTCCTTGCCCAAAACATTGAGGCTGAGAAGCACAACGTTTACATTGATCACTTAGATTGCTTTTAAACCTGTTGTTTTCATAGACTGAGTTATAGTGTATAATGTATTTTCCAGATGTCGTCTGCGTAAAAAGACATGGAAGAACCCTGGGACAGTGTACACAGATGCCCAAGTATATGAGGATGATTTGCCTATCTTTGCCAACTGGGAGGTCTTCTTACAAATACTAGATGGTAATAAACATCTTTAATACAGAAATTAAACTGATTCATTCAAACTGTTGTCCGAATAGAAAGAAAAAAATGTATCCTCAGGAAAAACTTTTTAAGTTGAAGTGTTTATGTTTGTAATCCTTGTTTACAGGTCCAGATTTAATAGTATCTTCATCACAACTGTTTGTTATCCTTGTTTACAGGTCCAGAGTTAATGGTATGTACATCATAACGGTTTGTTATCATTGTTTACAGGCCCAGTGTTAATGGTATCTACATCACAACTGTTTGTTATCCTTGTTTACAGGCCCAGAGTTAATGGTATCTACATCACAACTGTTTGTTATCCTGGTTTACAGGTCCAGTGTTAATGGTATCTACATCACAACTGTTTGTTTTCCTGGTTTACAGGCCCAGAGTTAATGGTATCTACATCACAACTGTTTGTTATCATTGATTACAGGCCCAGTGTTAATGGTATCTACATCACAACTGTTTGTTATCCTTGTTTATAGGTCCAGAGTTAATGGTATCTACATCACAACTGTTTGTTATCCTTGTTTACAGGCCCAGAGTTAATGGTATCTACATCACAACTGTCAATATTTGTGCGAAGATGGAAACCATCAGCCTTTGAGTTCGGTCCCTTTGAGGAAATTATACTGTGTCAGCAAACGCTTGAAGAGCTTAAGGAGAAGGTGAACAATTTGTGATGCATTCATTTTTTGTCTAAAGGATTTTGTTTTATATATGGAAATTAAACGAATTTAAAAATTATGAGAGTATCTTTTAATCCATTATCATAAGCACAGTTAAACAATCTTTTAAATTTGAAATTTTGAAAGTCAGTTTAAAAGTAATAGAGTGCATTTTGTAGGATGTCATTGCAGAGTTAGTTGCATTTTATCAAAGTCATCAAATAATGACATCCATGACTTTTACTGTACAGCTGTCGGAGGTCAGTGGGATCGCCCAGGAAAATGTGGAGTATGCTAAGGGGCGTGGCACATTCCCGTGTGATATCTCATTACTGGAGGTCCATACAGACCTTGACTGGAACCCCTACGTCACCACCCTCAATTCCTGGCCACTCTATATCTGTGATGACGGCAACGTCCTATACTACAGGTGAGGATGCAACATCATCAAATCAGCTTTGATTAATGGAAGGTGGTTTCATTTTAGCCAATATAAAGTAATCCCACATTTTCCACAGCCATATCTCACCAACTGACACATTTCCTCTTGATATCTTAATTTTAGGTTCCACTTGATAACCTTGAAGCAAAGATACAAACCAAACATTCCTTTTTGTAGCTGTTGATAAGTATTGACTTTGGCTTGGCTTCTGAAGTGACAGATTTGTTAGTAGATAGTAGTTATAAGTTGGGACGAGTTAAGTTTGTGGGTTTGAGATGTTTGGGTTTGTAATGTTACTTGATTAGATATGTTTACTGTCAAATTAAATTCCCAGATTCACATTACCACATAAATTTTCTTACTACAGTATCGGAAATAAATTAAGTCAACGTCATGGAACTGCTTGAATTAAAAATGTGGTACCAGTAGTAAGATTAATGAGCTTGTGATACAGACACGGAAACAATATGTGTTGTGTTGTTTATTTGTTACTAAATGAACCAGCAGCATGTAGAGACAATAATGGTCATTAGATAGCATTGTTAACATTTTATTGTGTGTTTTAGAGACAAGAATGAGAAACTGATGAAGCTGTCGGATGACAGGAGAAAGGAATTACAAAACAAAGAAAATGCCAGGTGAGGAATAATAAATACAGTGTACTTGGCAGGGTTATGTTGGGTGACTATGATCAACTAGGAGAGGAATAATAAATACAGTGTACTTGGCAGGGTTACGTTGGGTGACTATGATAAACTAGGTGAGGGATAATAAATACAGTGTACTTGGCAGGGATATGTTGGGTGACTATGATAAACTAGGTGAGGGATAATAAATACAGTGTACTTGGCAGGATTATGTTGTGTGACTATGATAAACTGTAGGTGAAGAATAATAAATACAGTGTACTTGGCAGGGATATGTTGGGTGACTATGATAAACTAGGTGAGGAATAATAAATACAGTCTACTTGGCAGGGTTATGTTGTGTGACTACGATAAACTGTAGGTGATGAATAATAAATACAGTGTACTTGGCAGGATTATGATGTGTGACTATGATAAACTGTAGGTGAGGAATAATAAATACAGTCTACTTGGCAGGGTTATGTTGTGTGACTATGGTAAACTGTAGGTGATGAATAATAAATACAGTGTACTTGGCAGGGTTATGTTCTGTGACTATGATAAACTGTAGGTGAAGAATAATAAATACAGTGTACTTGGCAGGGTTATGTGGGGTGACTATGATAAACTAGGTGAGGGATAATAAATACAGTGTACTTGGCAGGATTATGTTGTGTGACTATTATAAACTGTAGGTGAGGAATAATAAATACAGTGTACTTGGCAGGATCATGTTGGGTGATTATGATAAACTGTAGGTGAGGAATAATAAATACAGTGTTAAGTTGTCATGTTTCTGGCTATATGCACATTGTGTAATTTTAAGTAATCTATATATCGGTGTGTATTATTTGGAAGTTTGTGGAATGCATTATGTACAAATTATATGAAATTACTGAGATATTTGTGACCTGAAGAAAAATATTATCTCATTAAATATTGATGTTGTTAAGTTCACTCAGGGTTATATTTTTTAATTGCTCAGTATTAAATTTACACTTACAATTTTCTTAGGTCTTTACAAAACTGAGATATTTGCTGTTGTGTCACAGACTCATTTTATTTCTTTTGCAACAACTCCAGATGCAGTCCCCTGTACATCTCTTCCTTTGTAGTACATTACACAATTTTTAAAAACTGTTTAGGTTGTCGAGGAGTACTGGTAAGAGCACGTATTCCCCACGAAAGGAAAAAGCGCTGAAAATCTACACAGACGACCCCCCAGTCAAGCAGTCCCAGGATCTAGACTGAAGGGTATTTTGATTATGCACACAATCCCAGGATTTCGACTGACTTGTGTCATTTTTAAAACACAAAATGACACTTTAGTCAAAGCACTTGGATCAAGTGCTTTTCAATCTTAAACACACAACATGGCACTCCAGGATCCAGATTGAATGATGATGTTATTCCAATCCCAGGATCCAGATTGAATGATGATGTTATTCCAATCCCAGGATCCAGATTGAATGCTGTCCTTATCTAAAAGAACAAACAACACTAAAGTTCAAGGTTAATAAATGAATGGTGTCACAACTCCTATCCCAGAATTTAGACTTAATAGTGTTGTTAAAAGACTTAGCTCCAGTCCCAGGATTTAGACTGGTGTTAACACAAATAATCCCAGTCTGGACTGGATCCTGTCATTATTAAACACTAACGACACTCAAGTCCCAAAGTTTAGACTAAATGCTTATCTTAACCTTAAAGACACTCCAATCCTAGGATCTAGACTGAACTAGAATAATTAAACTGTGATTAGACAACGGTTAATTTGATATTTCTGTAATTTGATGTTCCAAAATTTAGCTGAAAGGAAAAAATGGATATGCTGAATATTGATGCCTTGTTAGCTGTTTGGAATTTTTGAAATTATGGCCAAATGTATCCATATAAATATGTTTTTTATTGATGATAATGTATAATATTAAAGTTAAACATGCTCTACTCAGAAAGTGTTGTAAAAGAATTGTCAATGACCTGTACACTATGGCTGGAATGTGTATATTATGCTTGTGAGGAGTGTGAATGGAAATGTTGCATTTGTAAGATGTACAAAGATATTGTTTGAGAGGCTGAAGGTATGTGGAAGGTATTTCAACCATGTGTGTATACATACATATGTAGATGTGTGATAAGAAGCAAATTTAAGTCTTTCAAAAGATGATATAATTCATTTGTCAGAGTGTTGCATGTTTACCATTTATCGCTGATTGCTTCATTGGAGTTGTATCATTGTGTTTCAGTTTTACCAACTTTTGTATGTAAGTCATTGTTGTCAGGAGTGATACAAAATGTATATAGTTTACAAAATTATATACCCATAATTTAGAATCATCAGGGAACATGAACTATTTATTTTCATATTGAATATATGTATCAGAATTATTATTTTTTTTCTTGGAAAACATTCTGACTTGTTTTTATTTGATTTCATCAGATTAGATATAACAATGGATGTAATATACCTTTAATAGGTTTTATATCAATTTATCTTTGTTTCTCAGTGTTCCATAGTTGTAGTGCAATTTCATCTTTCCAAGAAAACAATTGAAGGAAAAATTTGTCTTTATTAAATTTTCATCATGCATTCTATGATGTTTAGGTGTATGATTATATTTTCAGTATACCATATTGAAAGTTAAAAGCTTTAGGGTTTTAGGGTAAAATATTTTCTTAATTATGGAAAACAAATATAAATGATACCTAATACCAAAATGAAATAAGGATTTCAGTTTACACCATGTATCAAAGGATTAAATTTTTCATGTCCGATCATAAAATTATAACTGAATCAATTGATCGGTAGTTCTAGGAGTAAGTTTTATAAGCTGTGATAAATTGTAAAAGATGTTTAATACAGAAAATCCATGCATTTTTTTTCATGCATAAATGTGACATGAACTTTCCAACACAGACCTTTATCTGTGGACAGTGTAATAGTCTTCGATACCAGACACATTACAACTGTGGTTTGTGTTATTAATCTGTACATTTTCTTTTTCACATCTTTTAAACAACTTTGTAAAAGATACTTCCCGATCTTCCAGATCTCAAATGTTGTTTATTTCCCGGTATCTTACGTGTCAATTAGCGCTGGAATGACTTTTTCACCAAGAAATGTTTTCAGAGGCATCTGTGAGCTGAGGGATCAAGGAATTGGTCAATGCATAGTTAAAAACTGGTTTTGAATATTAGTTCTGTAAACAGTTCTGTTACATAATAGTCTATGTCTTTTAAATGTGTCAAAGTAGTAATATAATATATCAGATTGTAAAATGAATGTATTTTTGAAGATTCCTGGAAAATATCTGTTAAATAAAAAATAACCCGGAATTGAAGACAATAACAATCTGTTAGATGTGATGATTATGAAATGTATTATCCCCCAAAATTGCTTCCAACTACTTTTAGTTCAATCTGTTTGAATGTGTGTCACTAGAATCACTGAATACATTTAAAACTGATGATACATACTACTGTTTCTTACGGAGTAATGGGAGATATGTTACTCAATTTATTTGTTCAAACTTGGCTAAAGTTCAAAGTGAAATGTACATTCAATAAAGTTTCTGTAGTGCATGCTAAAATTGTTGCTTGAATAGATCCTCACCTGACATTTGCATTTCTAATGCCTCATCAAATTATTGTCTTTTGTCAAATATCAATATTTGAAACATCCTTTCAGCATGCATCACTAACAGGAGTCATTGTATTCATGTCTAGGTCCCATATACTGGACAAGTTGTCGGGTGAATTGTTGAATTTTCGTTTGTAAAATGAATCGTTTCCATTGGTACAAAAATTAAATGTATTCCATTATCAGGTTGATACTGCTAGAGCTGTTCCATATTTATATATATTGTTCTGACTTAGTTTAACCCACAAAATGGAAGCTCTTTAAACCCATTGTGATAGTGTCGACCACCCTGTTGTCTGTTGATAGTGGTATGTACTTGTGTGTGATCTCTTTTGGTAATTATTAAATATAATTTCTTTTTTGAAAGTTATACAGGATTTGTATGCACGCTGCAATTTCATAAGTTACTTAACTAAGTATTTTGTTCCTTATCTTCAATTTCCCCTAAGGGGAAACATCACTTAAAATAAGGAATAATTTCAAACTTAAGCTAGGGAACGTTTATGAAATTGGGGCCTGATCTATTTCTCTTCACACAGGCAGATAAAAGGATAACACATATCGTCGGATCGTCGAATCGACATCATATTTTCTATTAAAATTTGTTTCATAATTTTACATGTTCAGAAGTCCAGGAAATTCTAAGCAAGTGCAATCATTGCTTCCATGTGGTTCAACTTTGTGTGCGTCATTTATTTGAGTTGGCACCAATGGATTAGGGTAATAGATAATTTTCAGTATTTAAAGGTGGCTGCTGTTTTGAATGGTTAAGACAGTCATTGGCTTCATTCATGTATCGTGCCATGAAAGTAGATTTTTCGAAACAATAGACTTGAACACTCTTTTTAGTCTACAGGATATGCTTCAAGAACTTGATCAGTTGACATGTTTTGTAAGGTGGAATGTTTCCAACATCCTTGAAGCCAAGAACACCCTTCAAGGACGACATAAGGTCAATCTTCAAGGATGGCATCAGTCAACAGATTTTGTATCGAGATTAATCCCAATATCCTTCAAGGACTGTATCAGAAGACTGGTATTTGCTGAAAATTATTGTCATGGTAGAACTATTCAAGCTTGTTTTCTGCCCTCTTTTGAACACATGCTAGAGCTGGTATTTAAAAGACCATTTAGATTAGGAAATAGCGTAACTGGTAGGTACATCATGCCTTTACCATTGATATGATAATCTCATTCTGAGGTATTGTAAACCTATTTGGTAACTATATCACCTTGTCTTTGTCATTAAGATAAACCTAGATAAGGAGTCAGTTCCAGATGATATATAGTACCGTATATCGGGAAATGTTCACCCTGGTATAACTTACTCCTTTTTCACACTCCATGATGAAGGAAAATTTATCACGACAGTGAAAATAACTACACAACATACTATACATACTATACATAACTTGTGGAGGGTGAAATTGACAGATTCTACCAGTGAAGATCAAACATGATAGTTTCCTGGTATAGAGTAACTAGCAGGATACATCTTCTGTATTCTGGATCAGACATGGTTAGTTTCCCGGTATAGAGTAACTAGCAGGAGGCATCTTTTGTATTCTGGATCAGACATGGTTAGTTTCCCGGTATAAAGTAACTAGCAGGAGGCATCTTCTGTATTCTAGATCAGACATGTTTCCCGGTATAGAGTTACTAGTAGAATACATCTTCTGTATTCTGGATTAGACATGGTTAGTGTCCTGGTATAGAGTAACTAGCAGGAGGCATCTTTTGTATTCTGGATCAGACATGGTTAGTTTCCCGGTATAAAGTAACTAGCAGGAGGCATCTTCTGTATTCTAGATCAGACATGTTTCCCGGTATAGAGTTACTAGTAGAATACATCTTCTGTATTCTGGATTAGACATGGTTAGTTTCCTGGTATAGAGTAACTAGCAGGAGGCATCTTTTGTATTCTGGATCAGACATGGTTAGTTTCCTGGTATAGAGCAACTAGCAGGAGGCATCTTCTGTATTCTGGATCAGACCTGGTTAGTTTCCTGGTATAGAGTAACTAGCAGGATTCATCTTCTGTATTCTGGATCAGACATGGTTAGTTTCCCGGTATAGAGTAACTAGCAGGAGGCATCTTTTGTATTCTGGATCAGACATGGTTAGTTTCCCGGTATAAAGTAACTAGCAGGAGGCATCTTCTGTATTCTAGATCAGACATGTTTCCCGGTATAGAGTTACTAGTAGAATACATCTTCTGTATTCTGGATTAGACATGGTTAGTTTCCTGGTATAGAGTAACTAGCAGGATACATCTTCTGTATTCTGGATCAGACATGGTTAGTTTCCCGGTATAGAGTAACTAGCAGGAGGCATCTTTTGTATTCTGGATCAGACATGGTTAGTTTCCCGGTATAGAGTAACTAGCAGGAGGCATCTTTTGTATTCTGGATCAGACATGGTTAGTTTCCCGGTATAAAGTAACTAGCAGGAGGCATCTTCTGTATTCTCGATCAGACATGGTTAGTTTCCTGGTATAGAGTAACTAGCAGGAGGCATCTTCTGTATTCTAGATCAGACATGTTTCCCGGTATAGAGTTACTAGTAGAATACATCTTCTGTATTCTGGATCAGACATGGTTAGTTTCCTGGGATAGAGTAACTAGCAGGAGGCATCTTCTGTATTCTGTATCAGACATGGTTAGTTTCCCGGTATAGAGTAACTAGCAGGAGGCATCTTCTGTATCAGACATGGTTTGGTCATGATTGCGTAGAATTAAGTATTAAAATTATGTATAGAATTACAGAAACCTGTGGCTCATTGCTGCTAGGTTAAACTCTGCTTTCAGACTTCCCTGTCACTGAGATGGGAGTGCATTTACCTGGTTTAGGAGTGTTATTGAACTTATTCATCTCTTTGTTGAAACAGGTGCTTTGCAAATGCTTTTGTTAACTGAATATTTTATTTCATTCTGTTCATAAGCATGCAAAATATCTGAAATGCTAATTATGTGTCTAGAGATTGTGCATCTGTACCTGTGGTATATAAAATGTGTGGCGCTCAAAGTGTGACAGATAGCTGTAAAATTATTTTATCTATTATATGATGATAGTTTCATTTCATGTGATCCAAGTGCTGCAACAAAAGAAGTACTGCAACCACATTCATTATACATGTACTGCAATGATTTTTCAATAAAAGAATACAAAGAGTATTTGCCTCTTTAATTGTATTTTTAGGTCACCTGAGACAAAGACTCAAGTGACCTATTGCGATCGCCTTTTGTTCGGCATTGTCCGTCGTGCGTCCGTAAACAATTTACATTTTCGACTTCTTCTCAAAAAAACCTGAACCAATTTCAATGAAATTTTGCAGGAACCTTCCATGGACAGAGGTCAACAAAAACGGTGACCGGTTTAGTCCCAGGGGTGGGGCCAAAAAGGGTCAAATTGACTAAAATTTCAAAAATCTACTTCTCAAGACCCAGATATGGTAGAATCAAATACTCTTCATAGATGGAAGGGTCTTAAGGTGCTTTACCAAAATTGTGAATTTCATGACCCTGGGGTCTCATGTTTCCCCCTGGGGAGGGGGTACACTTTACTAGAGTTTATATAGGGAAATCACATTTTGGACCAAAACTTGTTTAATTTCCATTGGAAGTAATTCAATTTAGGTTAGCATTATCAGTATTAGGTAGCAGTTTGATAGTATGCACATATGAGCCCTGACTGACCCCCCGGGGCTGATTGGTGGGGCCATAAAGGGTTGAATTGACTGAAATTTCAAAAATCTTCTTCTCAAGACCAAGATATGGTAGAATCAAATACTCTTCATAGATGGAAGGGTCTTAAGGTGCTTTACCAAAATTGTGAATTTCAAGACCCTGGGGTCTCGCGTTTCTCCCTGGGGAGGGGTAAACTTTGCTATAGTTTATATAGGGAAATCACGTTTTGGACCAACATTTGTTTAATTTCCATTGGAAGTTATTCAATTTAGGTTAGCATTATAAGTATGGGATAGCAGTTTGATGGTATGCACATATGAGCCCTGACTGACACCCCGGGGCTGATGGGTGGGGCCAAAAAGGTTTGAATTGACTGAAATTTCAAAAATCTTCTTCTCTAAGACCCAGATATAGTAGAATCAAACACTCTTCGTAGATGTAAGGGTCTTAAGGTTTATGACCCTAGGGTCTCACGTTTACCCCCTGGGGAAGGAGGAGGGGGGGGGGGGGCAAAATTTATTATGGTTTATAATGGCAAATGAAACTTTGAATATTACATTTTAATAACTTGATTGGAATTATAACCTTAAGTTGACAGTTTGATACTTTGAAAATTTTGAGCCAGCCCTACCCTCAATGGCTGTAGGGTGGGGCCCAAAGGAGTTGGTGTGCTAAAATTTCTTCATTTTCCTTGTTTAGAATCAGAGGTGCTAGTTTCAAATACTTTTTAGTCTTAAATCTGTATGCTAGATATTGAATAAGGTGGTTTTATTGTTTTTTGTCACTTTGAATAATATTTCTGTTCATGTTAAAAACAAAATCAACTCTCTGTATAAATATATCAGGTGACCGTTAAGGCCCATGGGCCTCTTGTTAGGGTTTATAGATTGAATCTCTTGATTCGTAATGCAAAAAGTTGAAAAGTACTGTATTCTGATTTGGCCCAGCAACTATGCACCCAGAAGGGCCACACCCTATGTTTATACAAAATGTATTCCCCTTCGCCCAAGGATGCTCCAGGCCAAAGTTGAATGAAATCCCTCAAATGATACAGAGGAAGAAGTATTTTGAAGACTTAAACCTCAAATTCCCCTATCGGGCCCAGCAATTTTGCACCAAGAGAGGCTACACCCTCCATTTATACAAAATTTAGTCCCCTTTGCCAAAGGATACTCCAGGTTAAAATGTGGATAAAATCCCTCAAGTAGTACAGAAATAGAAAGATCTTAATGACTTTTGAGCCCCGCCCCTCCGCACCCAAAGGGCCCACACCCACCGTTTATACAAAATTGAGCCATCTTAGCCCAAGGCTCCTCAAGACCAAATTAGGATAAAATACCTTTATCCCTATGGTAGGAGAAGAATGTCAAAGATTTTACCTCTATTTCCCCTATTGGACCCTTCCCCTCTGCCCCCAGAGGGCCACACCCACAATTTTTACAAAATTGAGTTCCCTTGGCCCAAGGATGCTCCAGACGAAATTGGGATGAAATCCCTTCATCCCTATGGTAGAAGTAGGATTTCAAAGCTTTTACCTCTATTTCCAGTATTGGGCTGCCCCAGGGGGTCAAAAAAACACTTTTATACAAAATTGAGAGTTCTTTGCCGAAGGATGTTCAAGACCAAATTTTGATAAAATCCCTTAGTCTATAATAGAAGAAGGATTTTAAAGGTTTACCTCTATTTCCCTAGGCCTCCAAGAAAGCTTGGTCCACGTCCCGAGGCTGGGTACGTTGGTGCTCAGTGCGTATGTGATCATTTCGGGGGTATGATTGTGGCGCGCTGGGCGTCATCGTAGCAGAACGCTTTCACAGTAGCTACAATTTGAGCCAACCTGTTTGCCGTGGGTTGCATCTCGTATTCCTGGGGGAAAAAGATCCTGGTAGTTGAGCAGAGTCGGAATCACTGTCAAACTCTTGATAGGAAGGAGACATGATCCGACATTCTGCAACATACTGCTTTGGCTTCGGACTCTGGGTAGACGAGAGGTGATATGGGCCCTCTATCACCAATCGGCTGGTCACGCCGAGCCCTTGGTTTACATACTCCCAAGAAGGCGGTGGCT